AGGAAGAAGTCCCGTCGAACGGCGGCACTTTGAAACCACGTAGCGAAGGTGTTGTAGCTACCACGGGAGCTGTAACTCCATTCCCAATTTTAAGGTCGTCCAGCGTTTTCTTCACGTCAACCATCGGGTTTCAGCTTCCGACAGGCGGTTGTCATGTTGAGCAACCCTATCCTTCACCTCTTTTATCTCTTTCCCGAAGGTAGCGTGAAGGTCCTTATTGAGGAGCATACGCTGTTCCATACCACGCTGCAGCTGCTCTTCCAACCGACGGGTCTGTTCCTCCTGTCGGTGGACCTGTTCCTCGTGTCGGATAGCCTGTTCCTCCTGTCGGCGGGCCTGTTCCTCCTGTCGGCGAGCCTGATCCTGCAGCATCATCATCAGAGAACCTAAGTCAGGTACTGCAGATGCAGGAGCTGCTGACGGGTCGGCCTCCGTGGTTAGCAGTTGGCCCTCCGACGTTTGCGGCGTTGCATTACCAAATCGTCTCTGGTCCGTCTCCTGTTGGCCTTGACTTTGGGTATGGATACCCTCCGTGTCGTCTTTAGGTAAAATCGGCATGTTTGATCCCACTTCTGACACGAGCTTGGGGTTCGGGACAATTAAAAACTGCCGATTGAATTAACAAAATTGACACTTTAATTACACAACACTAATTACAATCTAAAACCACACGAATAATTAAACACAATTGTACTACTGATCACTTAAGTTCGCAGTTGTTTCGCTTCGAAGTATTCTCTTGTATCACCAATTCAATACTGCCCTGGTCGTGGTCTATACCGGCCTTATATAGGGTCTCAGATAGTTTCCAGAATCTTCTACTGTAGCGACATCTAGAATGTTCGAGTACATATCGGTCCAGAAATTTCTGGAAGGATCTTGACTCTCCTAGTTCTGCTACCCGACACTATAGTGCGCTAGTGTAACTAGTATTGCCATGTACAAGACATTAATAGCGTGCAACAGTATTATTTGCTAATGGCCCTTCATTAATTTTTGAAATAAAAAAGCCATTTATTTCAATATGTCGAAGTAAATAATGCTATATCTAAAATAGTAAATTGGTTTAATGTTAATTATTTGCATTTAAATGGCACTACAACGAAATGTATGTCAAATATTAAAATAATAATGTCTTATAAAATGGAGGGGAAGTGAGTCTTGTCGATACCACAATTTTTCTTGGAATAACACTAGACGCGAAGCTTCAGTGGAGCCCAAAATTATCCTCAAAATAGCAAGCAAGCAGACTTAGTTCTGCAGCATATGCCCTAAAAAAGATTAGAAATTTAGCAGTGTTGAAACAGTTAGACTTGTTTACTTTAGCTCTTTCCATAGCATAATGTCGTATGGTATTTTGCTAAGTATTAGTATAAGTAGGTATTTTGAAATTATATTTGTGTTACAGGGCCATAATAGCAATATATGATTTAAAACTTAAAGGAAATTAATATATTAACTTTGGCCTCTCAATACATTTATGAAAATGTAATGTACGTACACAAAAATAAAAGTAATTTTACGAAAATAAGTGATATTCATTCTGTAAATACTAAGAACAGACAAGCTAGTAGTACCAGTCACTCGACCCCACCGAGTCAGTAATCATTCTTGGAGCTACGTATACGCTTTTACAACAAAATCCCAGAAAATATACAAAATTTGACCTGCTCAAATTTCAAAAACTTTATAAAACAAAGTTTGTATAAAAAGGGTTATTACAATATTAAGGAATTTATGAATGATAATAACCCCTGGGAATGAGGTGATCGCTACTAAGCTATTTCAAATTTGTTTGTGTGGTTAATCGTGTAACATACATTATTGTAAGCTGTTATTTAAAAAAAGTCCCGCTGGGTTTCTAAATTTTAAGTATTAATTGCGTATAGTTCTTTCCAGGACGGAGTTTTTTTACTCGAACCAGTAGACCTTGATCAAATTTATGTAGGACCACATGTGAAGCACCAGCTTTCAAATAAAAAAATAATCATCGAAATCGGTTCACCAAGTAAGAAGTTATGATGTAACACACATAAAAAACAACATACAGTCGAATTGAGTCCCGGCTCCTTTTTGAAGTCGGTAAACAAAGAGTGACTTTCAATAAGTATTATTTATAATCTATACATTTTGAATAAAAAAGTTTCTGTTTCTGTTTCAATTATCAAAGACGTATCAGATCGAAATATCAGACTTTACCGATTTTATATTTTTAAGATACATTCGAAAATGGGAGGCTGGTATTTTCCACTATGGCTACCCCAGACGACTAAACCGAATATTTAATCAGCATTTGGAGTCACTAAAAATCTATTAAAATTCAGCCGGTATATTTCTACAAAATTAGGGCTTCTTGAGGGTTTCACAACAAAAACAAGCTGTAAACATGGAATCAAATATATACCTATTTTATATATTTTTGTTTGTCTAATCGACACCGTACGTTCTACGAAGCTAACCCGGTGTTGATTACAGATCTTCTCAGAACAATTACTAATGTTTAATTATTGCTCTAAGCAGGGGTCACTGCCACTTGACTGCTACGATAGTATACTCGTATATACCGCGGTAAGATCTAAGACACAATCTATTGTAGATTACAAACGTATTACCAGTATGCCTCTCTACTCTTTCAATATATTATTATTTAATATTTATTCGTACATTACAGCCTATCAAAAGTGTCATATTTAAGATTGTCTCATAGGAGTTATATTTGCCATACGGTAAGTCTCTTGGCACGTGGGTAACTGCAATTTTTTTATTCGTCTCTTACGATACTCACGAGATGATTATGGAGTCTTAGAATTAAATATTCCTTCTGTTCATAATGCACGTTCCTGTACTATTATATATTATGTGGTTCCTGATGAAGTTGTCGCTCAATTAAGAATTTTGGCTTGGATGCTTTTTCTTTAAGCCGTGTATTCATTTATCTCAGTATCAAGTGATAATAATCATTTTAACTACACTGCTTCACAATATATTCATGCGTCACATTGCGTGGCCTTTGGCAGATTTTGATGGCAACTTTAGCCAGCAGACAAGTGCCGATAGCATGTTAATGCACCTAAGCAGACAAACACCTTATCTTGATATTCCATCACCATCATCGTAACAACTAATGAAATGTAATGTACCATTACAACTAATGTATGTCTGCGCATGTAATAGTTCACATGCACAGACATTTAATACACAAAATCGAATCCACTTCAAACCATTATTAAAATAATAATGGATGAGCAGAAATCTATCGAAGTGTCGTCGAAGTATTTGTCGTTAACGAAACTAGATCGCCCATTTGGATTCTTAGACTAGTCGATCAAATACTTGGTTTTGCGGACGTTTAAATTTGAACTGCGCGACGTCGTCTATTATTAAGTCGCTCTTATCATTTGCACAGCGATGATACCATGAGGGCATCCATTTCTACACCTAACAGAATAACAAATAACTATCTACATTTAGAGTTCTAATTTATTTGCGCAATTATGTAATTTCAACGAATATTATATTATAAACTAATATTATCCGACCACGTTCTCGCGTCTGTCGTTGCGTTGCTAGTCGAAATTAACGTTAAGGGATTTCAATTTAGCCGTCTACGGATTCGACTAGTCCATTGATTGTTCGTAAACCGTCTACTCGTTCAAAGTACGTCAACGGTCGAATTGCCTAGTTCGTTCATTTAACGCCCATCGCTACAGCAATCCGCCGCTGGTCAAGTTCCCGCCAAATACTCCTAGCAGGTACAAAAACATACCCGGCGCGTTGTTGAACTAAAACGGTGACAACTTCCCGTCAAAAACTCTCTAGGCGATCATACGAGTATGTATTACAATGGCAAGCAATGGGATAATTAATAATAAAATAATTTGATCGCTTTCTTAGTGACTTTGGATTTGATCTGATTAATGAATAATTAGATTGTGGTGTGTTTTGGTGTTTTTGGTATTCTCCATTTAGTAGGCATAGGAAGGTAGGAACCATAGATTACTATATATATACCAGAGATAGATGCGCGACTCAAATTTAATTTTCGTTAGTGTAGTGCATTGCCGATCAGATGGCGCTTCATTCTTACAAAAGAAAGAACTTGAAAAAAAAGAGTAAAATAAACACGTCTTGCTGGACTCGAACCGGGGTCCGGGAACCGGGACCGCACGGTTACCCACCTGAGCTTTTATAACCTTGTACACAGTAGCGAAATTTACCTTCGTATTCTAATGATATTTAAGCAGTTTTTCATTGCCTAAAAACACAGATAAAACGGCATTTTCTAAAAATAAATAATATTCAATAAATATTAATAACAATTTAAGCGTAACTAACTACCAATGACCGCTACTAACTGCGTAGTGCACATGGATCATTGCGTATGCATAGACTTAATATATAAGTGTGCCCTCTAGTGAGTTTAAAATAAGTCTAGCCTAGTACTTCGGAATGTAGATGGAAGCACATAAAACGTATCATTTTGTTCGTAAAATAATATTCTAAGTTGCATGCCCATGGTATGAACATTTGGGAAATTTTTATTGGCAACACTGGCTGGTTATTAGACGTCAAATGAGTTTTGGCGGGAACTTTACCGGCGACGGTTTGCTGCTCCTGTATTATAGTTTAAATAATAGTTTGAAGTGGATTTTGATATGTAAAAGTGGTGCGATTTTATGTATTAACTGTCTACGCATGTGAACTATTAGTGGAAACGGTGAAACAAGTGCTCTGATGGTGATGGATTCTCAAGATAAGCTGTTTGTCTGCATAGGCGCCTTTAGATACCATCGCCAACTGTCAGCTGTCTGCTGGCTCAAGTTGCCGTCAAAATCTCCCAAGGGCTGCACAATGTGACGCATCAACATATTGTGAAGCAGTGAACTATGAAGGATAATTATACATTTGGGAAATTATAATAAACCGAATAAAAATACTCAAGACTTGGCCTAAAGGTCTAGATACCAGGCCATAAACTCCAAAAAAAAAAAATAGACGTCAAATCAAAGTCACTCTAATAAGCTGCTGGTGCAAAATTTAAAGTTTTCTTACAATGTTAAAAAAATATTTACGTACCAGCCATCGGCTGGTACTTCGCCGAATCAATAATTTCACTCCCGTATTATTAAATCAATGTGCTATCGCAAACACTTTAAATTCTGACAGTCTTCTATTATGCAGTCGGAAATATTCTGCACACACATCAAATATTTCGCAGCCTTTAGAAATAATCAATCCAGTGGTTTTTGAACAAATATGCAATGAAACTCTGGAATCCTTGTGCGAATACTTTGAAGAAATCGTGGAAAAGTCTTCCGATTTGAAGGGTGCAGATATAACATTCAGTGTAAGTCATTTACCTACATTTTCCAATATTTTCCTTGTATAAACATTGTGTTTTTTGTTTCGGTTCTTAATATTTAATTAAGTGATGATGATAATATACATAATAGGTTTATTTACGTACCTAACTTATGATAAGTAAGTATAAGTAAGTAAATAATATGCTATGTAGTCACATTAAAGGCTATTTAATTTAAATTTGAATGCTTATTCTTAAGTAAGGTTTTATAAATGCAAATTAACGTGGCTTGTAAAGAAATCAGTTTTTAATCACTTGATGTTGTCTGACCACCCTTTCTACCTTATTGGAAGTAAAGACTAGAAATGAGTTGGGGGTGACTCGAACTTTAGGAATAATCAGTTTCAATAGCCTATTATGTAGAGGGTGTCATGGGGTTCATGGTTGAATAGGGGCAAAAAGTTCTCATTACACTCCTAGGGGGTCAAAATTGCCAAAAACAAAAAAAATTTAAATTATTATTTCGGCTATAACTCTGCCTCCTTCGGAGCTTCTTACACAATCTTTACTTCCCGCATTGCACTAGTTATGTATACATAATTTTCTTGTCTCTATTTATTAAATTTCACAACAATTGCTAACAATAATACATCATATTATACAATCCCTTAGGGTAATAACATATGTTCCACAATTACTTAAATGTAAACTCTGCTTCTTATCTCCATATCTTCCTCAATTAAAAAAAATTATGTCTTAGTAAAGTTTAAAACTACACTAATGCTACAGAGTATTCTTAATAAAGTCAAAATTAATGTTTTTTAGCAAAATTTGACATGGGGTGAACTACTTCTTAAAAAAAATTCTTATTTCTTAAAAGTGAACTAAATAATGCAATAGAGAGGAGGGGTAATCTTGTAGGTACATAAAGCTTAAAAAGTTCCATCAGATTAGTGAAATTAACTGTGGAATTATAGAGTATGGAATGTGTAAGAGTTAAAATAAAAATAAAACTGCATCTGTTTCTAGATTACACAGAAAATGCTACTTGCCAGAGAAAATATTCTTGAACATGTTCAATAGATGAATGTTTGGCATAGTTTGGCCTCCAGACTATACTGCAATACTTAAAAATATTATAAACAAGACTGTTCTACTGTATAAAAATATTTAAGTTTTGGTATGAACATATTTTTATAGTTCTGTGTGACAAAGCACAATATTTACGATATTCTCAAAGTAATGTTATTGGAATGGGAGACAAAAGGTATTTTTTTAAAACATAAAAATAAATATATCTCTGCTGTAAATAAATGAAGTAATAAAATAAAAAAATAATATCAAAAATTTTACATTCTTACATTGCAAACCTATCAACTTGAAACCATATTTGTATAACCATATTTTAAACTCTTTATGATATATAAATACATTAAAAATATAATTATCTTAAAAATGCTTATATACACCATTTGACGTATTCTTGATAATGAAGATGATTTACGTAAAAGGCATTAAATCTGCCCTTTTGTAATTCTCTTAATTAAGTTGTACAATTAACAATAAATAAATAAATTTAGGGGTTGGTGATAGTTTCAATTCATAATAAAGTCACTATTGATATATTTTGTTGTGAGCATGTGGTAACCTAGCACTTAAAACTGCAACAACAATAATTTCATTGGTGCCAACAGGGATTGAACCCAGTTTTTTTTTGCATACTGTGAAATGTACAGAGAGTGAATCGCCCCTGTGCTATTACGGCTCTATTTTCACTTTGCCACGCTTATTGCTGGTACATATTTTTTTATACTCTATTTTGTATATATGCACCTTTGAACCCATTTTAAAATAAATTAATATTTATTTTTGTTATTGTTACAGGATGGAGTTTTAACAGTAGCACTTGGTCCCACCTATGGAACTTATGTAATAAATAGGCAAAGCCCAAACAAGCAAATTTGGCTCAGTTCCCCTGTTTCTGGCCCTAAACGCTATGATTTAATATTAAAAGATGGAGGATATTGGGTTTACAAACATGATGGAGTGACCTTGCATAAGCTTTTACAAGAAGAAATATCGAAGATTGTTGGGACTGTAGACTTTGGGAATTGTTCCCATGGTGTAATCTAAATTATTTATTCTAAATTTTTTGTTACGTTCTGTTAATTATTAAATAGGTTTTATTTTACATTTTGTTTTATTTTTTATTACAAAATGGAGGTAATTGAAGATGGAAATATTATGGATAGAATTCCTATTCTTTTGCAAAGGGACTTCCAATATTATCAGGTATGTAACTGGTGTGTTCTACCTATGTACATAGCTAGTTGAGGTGATATGTTAATCTAATTATAAATGTTTTAATTAAAATGTGAAAACATTTTAATAATTGCTACTTATAATATCCATAGGAAAAAGAGGATACAACAATTAAGACATGTCTGCAGAATAGCTTTTCCTAAATACTTTCAATTAAAATTTTATAACTATAACTTACGCTTGTACCAAACACGCACTTGGCCAAATTCCTACTGTGCTGGTAACCTAATTTTTATTTATATTATAATTTTAGGAAAAGCAGACCGTATTATCTGAGAAAATATGTCGAGGTGTGGTTGGTGGGAGATTAGATTTTCCAAGGAATGCATCATTTGCTGCAGTGAAGATCGTTTTGTGGTTAGAAGAAGAGTTTCACATTGCATTCAAGTAGGCTTTTTTCACAAATATATTTTTTTATCTTAATATTACACTATCATCAATCCGTCTATTAGCAATTATATATATTTGGACCGTGTTGTGCAGAAAAGATCCAACCCACAAACTGGCCAAGGTGATCCAGAGGCTCTATTTCCAATATGAAAAATCTACATTCAATTTTCTTTATAATGATGTACATATCATAATAGGGCCACAAGAATTGAATTTATCTTTCAAATCTAAATAAGTTTGTTATTGTGGGTTGAAACATTTCTGTCGTGTTGCGCCATTTGTTTTGTTGCGACGATGATGATCATAGGCTATTCTAGGATTGGATAGGTGGCGCTGTAGTCAAGTTATTATAAATTTTATATTTATGGACCAAGATGACTCATATTCATAGTACTTATAATTATTTTGGTATATTGCCAAAAAAATTACAAAATGCTTATAAAGTCATTAATAAATATTATATTTACACTGTAAAATTCAAAGTTAATTTTGCGTAAAACTTATATCGTCACCTACTGGCAAGAGCACAGAAACTTATCCCCCACAGAGTAATTTTTTATCTGGTCCCCTAATAATAATATGTGTATATAATTATATAATAATTAAAGCTACAGTAGCATAATTGTAGGGTGCAGTCTGTAAACTTAGTCTGGTTCAAATCAGCCATTCGACTACTGTGGTGAATCACTCTTTACATTAGCAATTTTAAACTTACATAGAGTAGGTAATGGGTATTAGTAATGTTAATACAGTTCCTACTATCCTTTTAAAAAGGAATAGCTTAAAAAAATTAGAAAAAATAGTTGCATCCATTAGTGTTTATCACCTTTTAGAATTTATGGAAATATAAGGTCACAACTACAATGTAATAAAATATAATTTTCTGTCACACAATCCAGTCCTACTAAGCAAACGAGCTTTCTTTGCATTACACATACAGAGGGCTAAGCGCTCTTAAATTTCACAGTACGCAAGCGACCCGGGTTTGAACCATCAAGTTTGTTAATTGCAAGACTTTTAATTAATAATTCTTTAAAAATCTATTTGTGGATATTATAGGTGGTCATTTCAAGATGCACCAGTTAGCATGCTCTACATCCATGTGTTGGTGATAGGAGAGCAGGGACTTTTACACTGTTGATAATGTTCCTCATCGCCTGAGAATGAGATTTGGGTTCTTTAATAAGAACTGGTGACAGACTAACTCACGGCCCACCTGAGGGTAAGTGGCTACCATAGTCCATGGACACCTACAATCAATTTCAAACAAAATGGCTACGTATGCGTCACCTCGGGACTAAGATGTAATGCCTCACAGCCTGTAACTATACAGGCTTTCTTTCAGACCGGAACAGAGCACTGGACACACTGCTTCTTGGCGGCAGATATACTTAAGAGCGTGGTATCTTCCCAGAGGGACACCTAGGCCGAAACAGAGTCCTACCAACTATTAGGTAGAAATAGGTAAGAGGTAAAAGGATATGAACTGTCAAAATGATATACGTCATTTGTCTAGTGTGAGGGTATGAAGTGCGCCCGGCTCATGAACTTATGTCTTTAACGATTGACTGTTTTAACGTACTTCAAAAAAGGGGGTTACTCAATTCGACTGTATGTTTTTTTATGTGTGTTACTACCATAACTTTCTAGGTAAACTGATTTCGATGATGGTGCATCTCATGTGGTCCCATATAAATTTGATCAAGGTTTGACCTGTAGTTTTTGAGTTATCCTTAATAATTTATATTGAAGTCGGTTGTACAAAACTTTTAATTTTACCACGTGTTTATTTCATAATTATTTAATTTCAGCCTAGGGTCTGGAATGTTTGTCACTGTAAATGCTGGCAAAGGCGATGGCGGTGTAGCAAAAACATCTGACCCAGACAAATTCGTCCAACTCGCAATTAAATCCAGTGATTCTTTACTTGGTAAATATATTTATGTGAAACCCAAAATAAACATTTTCTATTATCATTACAGTACACAGTTAATTAGTAAGTACGCTTTAGAATATATATTTAGATTAAGAATTAGTTTAATTTTCGAATATGTCTAGAAAGCTGGGTATTTTAGCTGCATTTTTTCTGCAGCAGGAATGGGTTGGCTCGACGACGGAAGTACAAAATAGATTAGTAGCAACTTATATACATTTCCTAAGACTTTATAAGGGCCACGACACTGATTTATACGAATTTCCGTGTCATTATTCAAAGGCCACGAACTTAACAGTAGTTTAAAGTCATTGCTTTCCAAAGATGTAATTTTTCTGGCATACAATGCCTAAAATCTTACAGTTCAATTATGGACCTTATTTAGAGCCCTAGAGCCCAATAAGGACCATAGACAAGCTATTAAAAAACTTTTTTTTGTAAGTAACTAGCCATTGGTGCCGGGTTTTTGTACAATATTTTATATTCAAATAAAAACAGTTTCTTTGATCGTGATGTCTTACAAATTAACACACTTGCCAAACTTTATTTATAAGGATTTCCAAAAACCCGGCCCTTATTAGATGCAATTACCTTATAGGTGTTTATGGGCTACAGTAGTCATCCTTCCGTATTTAAAAAAGAAACAGCCTTAATACTGATAAATTGCTTTGATCGTAAGTAAATAAAACTTCATTGTTTTTTAATTTGGACTACCAGAACATCTCCACATATTGGCTCAAGAGGCACTCGACCACGCTGATCTCCCGGTGTTAACCGCAACACTTGGAGCCGCCGCGTTACTGAAAAATAGCCTGTATTACTATGTCCAACATGTTGAAGAAACTGGCAACACCGAGAGATATTCTCGATTGCAGGTAATCTAAAACATATTATAATATAAAGCGGAAAAGGGGGTTGTATAAATTGTACCAATGTATCTGTGTGTATCACCGAATTACTACGTGATAATTATACGTGGTAGAGCCACGCTGCAGCTATATTATGGTTGCATCTTGAATGGGTTGGTTCGATGGGGGAAGGACCACGAAATACTCTTACAGAAAACCAGCGTAAAATAGCAACTTAACACTGCTGTGTTTCGTATGGCGAGTGTAGAGAACCTGAGACCCTTTTTACTGGAAACGAGGCATTCCATCTTAGTCGTCAGGGGTGACAACGCATCTGCATTTTGAGTCTTAATCGAGGAAAATGCAGGTGTCTATGTGCCACAGCATCCACTTAGCATCAATGGACTGTGTGCTCGTTTGTCAAGCCGCCTCCACATGCTTTTTTTTATAGGATAAGGGTGACAAACGAGCACACAGTCCACCTGATGGTAAGTGGTTGCTGCGGCCCATAGACATCTACATCTATCTATTACAAATCAAAATGTAGATGCGTTGTCACCCGTGAGGACTAAGATGGAATGCCTCATTTCCAGTAAAAAGGGCCTCCGGCCACCTGCACTCACCTAGCGAAACGCAGAGGTAAACCTCTACTTCACGCTGGTTTTCTGTGAGGTCGTGGTACCACCCCGGTTCGAGCCGGCCCATCCGTGCGACAGCAAAAGCAGCCGCGAGGCTCTACCACTGTTAAAAATTGGCTAAAAAAAATTGGCCGCACTGCGCAGTTCGTAACCACTGGCCTCTTCAAGCATCGTCGCGTCGCGTCTGTGTATGAACTGACCGCTATAAAATATGTATGTTTGTGCGTGTGGCAAACAACGACAAACAGCGAACACCAAACAAGAAACACGAACGCGTGGATGGGTGTTTGCCGGTGATCGGTTCGGTGTCGGTTTTTGTGCACAAATCAAAGGGTGTTCGACAAACGTGCTTGCGATGTATTCAAATGCTTGGCAATCAGTAGTAATAGGCGCGAGCGGCGGACGGAGTTACTAGTGGTTATTATTATTATTATACCCTACGATGTGCCATTTCTAAACACGCAAATACACGTAAACCTACACATACATGCTTTCATATTAGAGATGAAACGGATAGCTGTTTGGCCGGATACCGGATACCGGATATTCGGCCAGTCTTATCGCCGGATAGCCGGATATCCGGCCGCCGGATATCCGGCCGCCGGATATTCGGCCGAACATTGCCGTTTAGTGCATCGTAAAGCTGAGAACAAATTATCGGACGCGTCCGTCAGCCGCGGCTGACAGACGCAGCTTATTTGAATCTAGCCAGTACATTTAATACTACACTGTGCAAACTATCGGTCGTAAGACGCGGACGTGCCCTTGAGTCGTCCTTGAGCGTTCAGACGTCCGAACAGAATCTAGCCGGCTGGATATTTGTGCGTCCTCGGACGGTGTGCACAGGCCACGGGACGCGTCCGCGGACGTTTCGAGCGTCACAAACGAACCGACCGCGCTCGCGACATGTCAGACGAAGAAAATTTAATTGAATGTGTTCGTGGCCACATAAATGCTACTTTAAAACAGGAAGTGTGGGAGCAAATTGCTGCTGAATTAAACATCATTTTCAATCAGACTAAGCAGAAAATTAAATTAGTTTTCATTAATTCTTAAGTACATTTTGTAACGTTTATCATCTTTTTGTAAGTCTGGATACAATGTATGAAATTCATCATACTCGAGTCGTTTTACATTAATATCATGGACCCAAACACTCCTTTGCACTTTTTTTTGGAGGACAACATACGGCAGCTGCCGCTAGTATAAATTCGTCCTCGCTGTCGCTGCTTGTCGTGTTTCTGGATTGAAACCTTTATAGAATGACTGAAGTGAGGCGTCCGAAGACGCCGTCTTAACTACCGTGCACACCGCTAAGCCGCGACTGTCAGCCGCGGCTGACGGACGCGTCCGATAATTTGTTCTCAGCTTAAGCAGCGAACTTGCGTAGGTGGCGCTAGTGGTGGGAATCGTGTGCATGCGGGACTCGGGCGACTTCGGGTATTTTCGTTCATGAGCGAAGTTAGCAATTGGTTCATTGACTTGTATTGATTGCAAACACGATCGTTTGAGGTTATTAAAATACGTGCTTTTGTTATTTGATTTCTATAATTTTTAACAGATTTAATGACAAAAATGACATCGATAAAGAAAAGATCGCTTTTATGGGAACATTTTGATATAGACAGTGATGATCCTAAGCTTGCTGTTTGTTTACTACTCCAGTACTATATATTAGTCTATGGTTTACTATGCAATGTTAAAATTTCACGTGGCGGCGTAGGGAAAAAAGCAGGTATGTTTCAAACAATATTAGCGTTTGTGTTTTTACTTTTTTCGTTGTAATTAAATTACCTACTAAAATTTATCGCTTAATCAATTTCAGTAGGTAATTTAATTACACACGAAAAGCTCTAAACCACAACATTTAATTGATCGCTTAATCAATTTTAGTAGGTAATTTAATTACACACGAAAAATTTATCTTATATATATTAAATCGAATTCGTAGAAAACAACTTGACAAATACAGTAACAGAAATTTTCTCTGATGGACTCGCATAAAAAATATAATAACAACAAACCATCTTTTTTTTGAATGAGGTATTTTTCAAGTTAAGGAACCGTGGAAGTTTCATAAAAATTGTTGAGTAGTTTTGAAGATATTAACTGTGAAAGCTATGAAGTCGATTTAATTTTTCCTAAATTGTAGCTTGTTGATTATTTGTAAGGCATGTTTACGTTTACAGTATATAGCAGAGTTTTGTTGATGGTATTTTATTTATAATTATAATAATTTTTTCTAGGTACTTCTGCCATGAAAAATCACATGAAAACAAAACATCTAAATGAATTCCGTGTACTGAATAAAGATCTTGCCGCTGTCGTGCCTACAACTTCTTTAGCCATCCCGGGGACAAGTTCATCTTCAGTACCAAATAGGCAATTGACTTTAACAGATACTTTCGAAAGGAAATTGCTTTGGGACGTTAATGATGCTAAAGCCAGGAAGTACCATTATTTAATAGCAGAAATGATTGCATTAGACAACGAGCCATTGTCCATTGTAGAAAAAACCGGTTTCACCGGACTCCTGGAACAAGCTTTACCCCGATATAAATTGCCAAGCCGTACTTATATTACACAAAATATCATTCCTGACATATATGACAGAATTTATGAGAAAATTAAAAATAACATGTCAAGTGCCTTCGCTATTTCAGTGACTTCTGATATATGGACTTGCTTACACAACAACGAAACAACAACAAAAAATAGCTTCCTGAGTTTCACAGCCCATTGGGTATCTCCTGAATTTAAACTAGAACATGGAGTTCTTGCAATGAAGCCTTTCTTAGGTTCACACTCTGGAGAAAATATAGCAAAAGAGCTTAACACTGTCGCGAACTGCTGGGACCTTGAGCATAGTAAAATACATTTATTCATTCATGACAGTGGTGCTAACATGGTGAAGGGTGTTCGTTTGGCTGAGTATGATTCTGCTAGATGTTTCATACATACGCTTCAGAGAGCTATAAATGAGTCGCTCAAAGCCCAGGTTGAAGTGACAACAATGATTGCTTCTGGAAGACGACTTGTTACACACTTCAATCATTCAGGCTTAGCTCAAGAAAAACTACTAGCGATTCAAAAAGAGCTAAATCTACCCGAGCATCAGTTGGTGCAAGATATCAGTACTAGATGGAATTCCACTTTCTATTTAATGGAGCGTCTGTTAGAACAAAAGAGGGCCATATCATTGTTTGTTGCTGATCATGATACACTCACTAATTTGACGGCTCAACAGTGGTGTTTGATGGAGCAATGTATAAATTTATTGAAACCTTTTGAAGAAATAACCAAAATAACAAGTTCTGGTCTGTCCTGCGTATCGGAAGTTATACCACACGTTACTGCTTTAAAAAGTATTTAGATAAAGATGAAATTGAGCAAAGAACGCCGGATTTACCACACATGCGGGCCTCGTTAAAAGCTGAACTAGAGAGTCGTTTTAACTGCTTAAATCAAGACTCTAACTACTTGATTGCTACTTATCTAGACCCGAGATTCAAAACAAACTACTTGGGAGTGGTTGAAGCTGAAAGAGCTCGCCAGGAAATTCTACTGGAGTACTTAAAAATGTCTAGCGAGGAGTCTTCCAGTTCATCGTCAACACCGGCTAAAAAAAGTAGAATAGAGGAGACAGTGTCAGCTGTATCTCGCGAAGCTCATTACACGTTCTGGGATTGCTTCAATGAAGTAGGAAATGAAAATAATACTAGCCAATCTCATCATGAAGAAAGAAACGCGATTTTATGTGAAATTGATTTGTATCTAAAGTCAGTGCGAATTGCTCGCGATCGTGACCCTTATATTTGGTGGGCATCTAATGCTACACAATATCCAAATTTATCGAAGTTTGCCAAAATCTATCTTTCAGCACCCTGCAGCAGTGTGTACAGCGAAAGACTTTTTTCTGAAGCTGGCCTTGTTTATGAAGACAGGCGAAACCGCTTGCTACCTTTCAATGCAGAGAAACTAGTATTTATTCACCATAATTTGCCCTTAGTGCAGTACGAGTACTAAATTTCTAAGATTTAAAATGAAAATTTTGTAATTATACTGATTCTATTTGTTAAGTGACATAAATAAAGTACTTAACTAAATTTGATATTTTGTATTTTTTTATCCGGTATCCGGCCGGATAGCAGTTTGCTATCCGGTATCCGGCCGGATAGTAATTTGGGGCCGGATAGGCCGGATACCGGATAGTTACCGGATATCCGTTTCAACTCTATTTCATATACTCACCTCTATACACGTCAATATCCATTGAATGGATTCAGCATTTCGCCTTATAATACTTTTTATAACTCTTTTATTATATATTTCCTCTCTGTATTATTCTTTGTATTATATGTAACCTATCCGCGAGGGGGGCTGGTGACCTGTAACTCAGGTTTTTAATATAAAACCTGTATTAGTCCTTATGTACGTCGATATTCTTAACCAGCCAGTAAGTTGTGAAGAGATAAATAAATTGAATTGAATTGAATTGTGTATTTAGGTACTATTGTATTTATGTTTTTTTTTGTGTAATTTCATTTCGTCTTTTTTTTTAAATAATAGGTCAACCCAAAAGTATCGCCGCCACAAGCTCGTCGCCCGCCATGTTTGCCCATTCGGAATATACTAGCACGTTTGCCAAGAATGTGGATGCCGTGTTTGTGTTGGGTGATTGTAGTCGGTGTTTGACACGTGTTTCGTGATTCTTGGTGGTTGTGGCAACAACCAAGAATGTGGAGGCGGCTTAAGCCCATAGTCGGGAAGTTCGCGATGTTTCACCCCCGTGCATTGGAAATCATGTAAAGCAGTTGGTCCTGCGCCTGATCTTCCTCCGGTCGTGCGGTTTGCCTATCACAATGATGAGGACGATGTATAAAAATATATTAGACTAATGCAGTCGTTTCTTTGTTTTGTAATGATAGTTTACTTATTTGATTCCCTAAATAGGCATGTTACAAACGTTACGTCACCATGGCGGAAGCAGTCGGCGAGAGAGTACTCGATCTTCACAACCGAGTACTTTCATTGTACATTCTTCAAGACTCTGGTGGTCGGCCCATTGAAGAACAGAGGCCTATACAAACTGGCACGCCGTCAGTACAAGGCTGGTGGCTTTATATGAATGGTAATTAATTATTAATTTTTTCTCTTTTCAACAGACCAAATATGATAGGTTTGTTTCCATATGTGAAAGCTAGGGTCAGTTCACACCGAGACTAAACGCGACGCGACGCGGCACGCAATTTTTAAGGTAGTGATACAAAATATAACTTAATTTACTACACAAGAAGACACACATTTTTTTGAGGTAATTAGATAATTGAGATAATTTGATGCGCCTCGCGAAGTCGCGATGCGTCTCGCGGCGCCGCACTGCGCAGTTCGTAACCACTGGCCTCTTCAAGCATCGTCGCGTCGCGTCTGTGTATGAACTGACCGCTATACAAATGTAAAAGATTTTAATGTATTTATTGGTAGTTATATATACATCTAGATGATTCTTGTGCTTGTTATAATCCTTAGTCTACTCAAAACAATCAAAAAATTAAACTTCTGTCAAAAAAGTAGAAGCTGACTACAAATAACAAAAAATAAGCCCATATCCACATACACTAAGTTTAAGCGCCCTTTCAAAAGCTATTATGTGATGTTTTTTAAGTTATTTGATGTCGTCTTCTATATGGAATACTAGCGTGAAATAGCAGCTTTATGTTGCTGGTTTTGTATGGTGAATGTAGTAGAGAACCGGATACCTGTTTTACTGGAAACGGGGCATTCTATCTTATCCCTCGGGGGTGTCAACGCGTCTGCATTATTATTCTTAATCGAGTATAGATATGGATGTCTTTGTCTCCAGCATCCACTTACCATCGGGTGGACTGTATGCTCGTTGGTCACCTTTATTCTAATTTAAAAAAAAATTATAAGTAGTTAATTTTTTTACTTGAATATTTTGCGGAATGAATTATTCTATACCTACTCAATTTTACCTATATTTAATTTAAGGCAGTCGCAAAGACTTGTGGGATACTGTACCTCCGAGAATGGCGCAGAGGATCTTTGCCGGGATGCTAAATGAAACATTGACTATCCTCACTGTGAGGTACTGTCAGGTATGAATACTAATAGGCCTTATATAGCATGTTTTTCGCAGTTCTTTTCTCCAAGTGATAATCTATTCAAACAATCTCCCGTAAGTGATGCAGAAATCGACTGAGAGATATCCGGATAATATCTTAAAACCTCTATGGTTTACAACCGTCTCAGAAATTGTCAGACCTAAAATATCTAATCAGTTAATGGCGAATTATAAGTTCTGTGTTCTGATCAAGGCAAATATTTTCTCTGAACATTGGGAAAAGGTTAAAAAGTTCGCGAATTGGCGGGGTTGGCTAGGTTGAGCTTACTCATCCAGATAGGAGCTAGTTGAGTGACTCATTGTTAGTATATATACCAAGTTTCAGCCTAATCGGGTCATTAGCTTTTGAGTTATCAACGAGTAAACAAGTCAATTGGGAAGAAACTAGTCACTATGGAGAAAATTGAATATCGCGCCGTCATTAAGTATCTCCCTAAACAAGGTACGACACCCCAAACCATTTTTCAAGAGATGTCAGCTGTTTATGGGTACTCCGCTCCTGGGAAAACCATGATTTATAAATGGCACGCCCTTTTCAAACAAGGGAGGGACTCCATTGAAGACGATCCCCACCTGGACGGGCGATTGAGGCTACCACACCAGAAATAATCGAAAAAGTTGAAAAACTTGTATCGAAACATGCCCGACTAAAGAAAAAAACAGCTTGCAGCATTAGTTGCAGTACCAGAAACAACCATTTTAAACATCCTACTTCTACACCTTGGCATGATAAAAGTCTGTGCAAGATGGGTTCCGAGAATGCTTTCTGCGCATCAAAAACACGAGCGCGTCGAAAGTTGTCGCCAGTTTTTGGATCGCTGTGGAGAGGTGGCGATGGAACTTGGATTCACCATTATGAACCTGAGTCAAAGGAAGAGTCGATGCAGTGACATTAAAAAGGCACACCCCCTCCTAATTCCTAATAAGTATAAGGTGTTTCAATCGGCCGGAAAGATCATGGCGACGATCTTTTAGGATACAGAAGGTTAAGGTTTTCTTTAGACGGTATTAATAAGTTATTTGATAGATCTAATAAATGTATTGGGGTTAAGGGAGAATACATTGAAAAGGAAAAATAGTTTAATGTTAAATTTCATTATCCTTCCCTTTCATTCCGCGAACTTTTTGACCTTCCCTCGTGCTATCACAGTTTTTTTCTTTTGTAGTAGCAGCTTATTATTCATGCCTCCACTTTGTCCCGTGGGTGTCGTAAAAGGCAACTGACGGGAAGACCTCATGGATTCCGATAGATGGTTAGATGGCGATATGTATAGGTAACTATCTCTTTTACGTCTGACGTAAAATGTCCAGACCGTTGACTTCAGCTGCAAGTAATGAGACCTCTGGGTGATCTGCTGGCAAGGGTAAATGCCGCCACTAATAAGAAGCCGTGAGATCTTTCTGGCATTTCTTACAGTTGCGTCTTCACCACGACCAGAAATGAAGTGATGGGTACTCTTATACCGCCAATTACTCTGTGCACTTTTGTAAAAATAATACCGAGTTTTGGCGGGAACTTGATCGTCGACAGATTGTTGCTACTACTACTACTTTTGTCATTAAAGTAATGGTTTGAAGCGAATGTAGATGCGTGAAACTGATGCGATTTTGTGTATCTGCGCATCTGAACTATTACTGGAAACAATGAAACAAGTGCTTCGATGTTGATATAAACCTCAAGATATTTTGTTTGCTTAGCTGCCTTAATAACTTGAGTAACTCTCGTCATCGATGTCCGCTGGGTTGAGCTGTCGTCAAAATCTTCCAAAAACTTCGCAATCAAAAAAAAATCAATCCCAAAAAAAGAAGACAACATAATAATCTCAATGAAATGAAGACATGGCTTAAAGGACAAGTATCCAAGCAAAAAATCTTAATAAGAAACATTATCATCCTTTAAAATTATGGAGTGTAGAGTACAAGGAGAACCATCTTATAAGGGGCGAAATTTGAAAAAGACACTTTTTCAACTTTTGCTCGTTCCAAAACCTACCACAATAGCGCTGGCGTTGGAAAAACTACGATATTAAGATAGCTGTTGTGAACGGAGTGAAGTCAGCTGAATTCAAATATTTAAAAAATTTCATGACTAGAGTAGTTAGTAAAATGCCAGTATACAAAATCTCAACTATTTACGTAGTACAAAACCAAGCGAATTGGTCGGTCCTTGTTTATTTCTCCATCTTATTCTAATTACTTTTGGCGCTTTTTTTTTAATTTATCCTATGCTATTGCAGCGCCACCCTTATTAGACACGTTTTTAGGGATACTTTTCATATATAGAGATGGTCCTCCTTCTCTCTACACTCCATATTTTAAAGTAATAAATAGAGTATTCTTAGAAATTACTCTCAAATTATGTAAGGAAATATACCTTATATTTATCGGACTTAATAGTTTTAAGTCGGCTTTAAATGTTATCTATCTATTAAAATAATATTTGCCATTGTCACCAACTACCCACAGTTTTTTTCCTAGTTGTTATTAGCAAGAAGCTGCTGCACATTTCCTGGTTTGTTTCCTTCTATTGCCTTTTACGACACTTACGAGACAATATGGGGTAATGGATGTTCTTGTAACTTAATCTATAAATGAAAACAAAATTTAGCTATCAAACAACATTAATTTAAAGTTAAAAAAGTTAAAGTTACAGCCTAAATTATACATCTCTCATTTCTAAGAGTGTTTTAGGGCATGGAAATGTCCGCCACGCTGCCCCAATGCGTGTTGGCGAACTTCACATATCTTCGAAATATGTTTTTTTTTTATTTCTCAGACATTCAGGTATCCTCACGATGTTTTCCTTCGGTACTTAAAACTGCAATTAACAATTTCATTGGTGCCGGCGGGGCTTGAACGCGGGTTGCTCGCGTACTGTGAAATTTACAGCGAGCGCTTAGCTCATAAGCTACCACGGCTCTTATGATATTGCATTTATTCCAGACTAATACAACAGAGTCAACAACGCCGTTACTGCTGAATGACATCTTGAACATATTACTATGTGTGGCTCAACTCTTACCTTCGATTTGCGCCAGTGGTGCAGACTTGGCTGGATTGGACGTTCCAAAGCAGACGAGAGACGTGAGAGATCTCCACGCTAAGTGCAACGAGCTGTTTAAATGTATGATTTACAGGGGAGCCGAATTACATTTTCTACATCAGGTAGGCACTTACACGTTTTTATGGACCGTGCTTTGCAGAAATGTTTCAATTCACAAAAATTCAAATTTGAAAGATAAATGTATTTTTCTAGTGGAATTTTGAAGAAATTTGAATATAGATTTTAGGATTACTTGTTATGTTTCAGAAGTCTTTCATGCTTGAATATAAACTGAAAAAAAAAAACTGTGATCCACAGCTCTGCACAACACGGTCCTTATTAGTTTGAAATGTTACGTACATGTCAAGTACCTATGTAAAAATGCGATGGAATTTTTTGATTCAGATTTCACTCGCATGTGGACGTCTGCTCAAGGTCGCTCAGCGAGCTATGAAGAAGGCTATTCTCGGGGTTTCTCTGCGTGATGAACTTGTAAATGAGTATATCCGCAGTAGAACCAGAGTGACCGACATAGCCCAACGGATTATTAAGCCGAATTGGCAGTGGGCTTGCCATATAGCTCGAAGAACCGACAACCGATGAGGAAAAAAGATTTTCGAGTGGCAGCCTCGTATCGGTTGGCGAAGTGTAGGACGACCCCCCGCTAGATGAAATGACGACCTGATAAGACATGCAGGAAGTCAATGGATGCAGGCGACTAAGGATCGTGCTTTGTGGCATTCCTTGGTGCGGGGCTATGTTACATAATATTTTGTGAATTCACAGTCTGCCAAGTGATAACACGTCTTAGAAGACCTGCTCTAACACCCTCTCAAAAACGTGAGAAAATCTCCAAACCAAGTCGTCACTCCATCTTTTGGCAGGTCTAGTATAAACGACATAGCCCAAGGGATCAGTAAGCTAAAGTGGCAATGGGCTAGCCAAATGGCTCAAACATATGGCCTTAGAGGGGTTTTGCCATAGTTGCCACGCTTGGCAGTTTTTGATTATTAAATATTTGAGGTCTTATCAGAAAGATGCTGCTGCCCATTTTCTGCTTCAGTTTCCCCTCTGTCGCCTCTTACAACACCCACGGGACGATATGGGGAAGTGGATATTCTTGCAACGTCCCTACTCGGCTTAATATTTTAAATTCACTTATTTAGTGCTAAGGTTAATTGAACTTAATGAACTAATTCATTTTAGGTGTTTAAGTCAAAAGAGCAGGGAATAACGGCCAAAGAGTGTGCTTACCCATGGTTTACTTTTGTGAGTCCAAATCTGTTTGATAGTTTCGACGATTTCACCGTTAAACATACCAAGGATCTTCCGAACAAAACTGCCATTGGATTGGAATTAATAGTTCTACTCGCCCAACCTCAGCCTTCGTGGCCTTTGTTAGTCAAGGTAATGAAACCCATACAAGTAAAATTACTGAATACTTTTATTTTTTATTGAAGACTAGTGACTCGCCACGGCTTCGCCTAGGCAGATCTATTAATGTGGCGTCATTAAGGTTTTTCGTTTTTCACCCTAACCTATAATAAAATTTATAGTCACCTTTTAGGACACCACCGGGACAACATGGGGTGTTCTATTATTGTAAGTCGCCAGAACACGGAATTGATTTCTCAGGAATATTTTGTTTCAGGTCTTAATGATGCGTGACTGTCATCTCGCTAGAATATTATTGCATAACGCGATTATTAATATGTCTATTGATAACGCGCGTTGGCCAGCTGACGGACTGTGGTACAACGTCGATCAGTGTCAGCAAAAGTGTGGGGGCTTTTTGTGTACAGCTGATGGATTCTGTAGGTTCAAAGGCGCTACTGAAGGTATGTTTGCAGTTCTTTCGGGTAACAAGAGACTTGCACAGTGGTAAATGTATGGCTCATCCCATTTCAAAAACATACATTTGTAATTTCCTTAACCTCCTTGTTTAAGGTATAAAATATTTCAATTATATGTGAAATATGCAAACACGCTTGGGAGCAGCACGACAGACTAATTGTTTAACTATCCTCTGGGAAAAGAACGCAGGCGACCTGTGCTGTTGTCGATGCCTTGTTGCTTCTCGCACACCTGAAATATAAATAATATTAATTGAGAAAACATAATATAGGTATAATATGGGCACATAAAATTTTTACTTACCTTATGTACTCCTTGTTTTTCTATAATAAATAAGTACGTGTGTATAAAGGGACGGCGGTATTTACTTAGTTACTTAGACGGATTTTTTTAGTAGACTGAAGGTATATTTGCAACATCGGTGTTGTAGGGCTGAGTAGGTACATGATCTCGCTCTTAGAGTCAGGTGTACTAAAATATCATACGAGGTGACACCTATGTCCCCCTCTCCGTGGATGTACACGCGTTCACCAAATTTTCTAGTATATTGTTCTCCCAGACGACACTAGCGGCCTACATCACCCTGTCGTGGGATACGTATAAAAGCTCTAACTTTACTTTGCGTTTATATAAATAAGTTGGTAGTTGGTATTTAGTATAATACTTTACAACCAACGAGGATGGAAGGTTCTCGAGTGGCAGTCTATTATCGATAGACAATTGTGGTTACCTACCCTCATTAGATGAAGTGACGACCTGGTTAGAGGTGCAGGTGGCGCAGTACTGTACTTTGTGACAATCTATGGGGGAGGCCTGTGTTCAGCAGTGGCAAGTCCACTGCTGAACACTAATGGGCCTTAGTGATAGTGAAGGAAAACATTTTTTGGACGCTAGTTACAGTTGTCTATTCCGTATAAGGGAGTACGGCAGACGTTTTCTTAACGTTAAACCATTTAGGAATGAGAGGAGTCTGTCTGTGGTCAGCTAGGGATGTATATAGACTTTATTTTCATTTATTTTTAACTATTCTATGCCAGCACTTGATTACTATCTCACCTGATTGTAAGTGCCGTGATAGGTTAGTGCTCGCTGTAAATTTCACAGTACTCGAGCAACCTGGGTTCGATCCCCGCCGGCACCAATGAAATTGTTAGTTGCAATTTTAAGTGCAGATTTACCACGTGCTCGGCGGTGTAGGAAAACATCGTGAGGAAACCTGCATGTCAGGGAAATAATGTCAGAAAAATAAATTCGAAGACATGTGAAGTTCGCCAACACGCATTGGGGCAGCGCGGCGGACATTTCCTTGCCCTAAAACCCTCTCAGAAATGAGGGGAGGCTTTTGCCCAGCAGTGGGACGTATATAGGCTGTAACTTTACTTTATTTTACTGATTGTAAGTGATGCTGCAGCCGAAGATGATGAAGCGCACTGACTTAACAAAAGCCTATTCGCTCTTGCCTTCAAGACATTAACATTGTAATGGGACAAAAAGACAGATCGCACGCATCCAAGAGTATGTAATTACTATGTTTTAGTACGCATGACGAATGATGTAGCAAACCGTTTGGTTCGAATGCGTGGTAAGTCGACAGCGAAATGGTGGAGACTGGCCGAGGGTCTGGTTCACTGATGGTGGAAAGGAGAAGGAGGAATTAAGTTTTGCAATTCCTGTGCACATTTCCCGAAATGGATCCTGTAGAAAACCGTAAACTGGCTTCTTTGCACCTGTGTTCGATACTGGTGAGATTAGTATAACCAATAAGCCTCCTTGCACGTCTTTCCATTGAGTCCAAAGCTGCTAGGTGGCATTTTGCAGCATCAGTCCATATATGACAGCAGTACTCTATGCTACCGGCTTTATCTCGTATATACTTTCTGTCTATATTTTTATAGTTAATAGACCACTTTTATATGAGCAGTTAAACATGTTTCAGTTGGGGAACAGTACGCCCGATGTGCCGGAGCATTAACTAATGTTCTAGCTACCATTGGCAGTAAAGCGGAGTTAAAATCTACTTTGTGTTATGCTCTGGAGATTTCTGGAAGGGACTGGGCGCCTTGTTTGGATAAACGTCAAGTAGGTATTTGATAATAATATATACTATATTAAAAACCACTAGGTGGAGTGACGACTAGGTGGCTCAGGACCGTGCTTTGTGGCATTCCTTGGGGGAGGCCTATGTCCAGCAGTGAATTTGTTAAGGGCTGTAATGATGATATTAAAATTATCCGCGATTAATAGAACATTGATTATAAAGACGCTGCGTTAGATTCGCGCTTCGTCGAAATTAAAAACGACAATGAAAACGATTTTGTAGACTTTTTAGGCGAATTAAAAAATGTAGGTTGTTTTCAAATCGACTGTACAGTTTTTGTATGACTGTTACGTGATATATTCGCGAATTACTAACCAATTTTAATGATTATAGATTCTCATGCGTTTCAGGTTTGGTGCGATCGTCGCCCGCCATGGTTGGCTGGTATATTGGCTATGGTTGGCACAGCACTACAATTTATACCACCGATATTAGTTAATACCGTACAAAGTGGAGCGTCGATGTACCAGGTTATTACATTTTGCGTAAAAAATATACTTACTTAAATACTGGAGCACACTAAATGCGTGCGTTTGGCGTATACAGCACGTGTGCGTTGCTGTAACAGTTATGATGTAATATGAAATTAGAAAATTGACCAACTGCGTTCCCATGCGATGCAGAAGGAGAACTGGAGTGACAAACGAACTTACAATCCACTTGAGTCCGTAGCAACCTCTTTCTCTACCTCTTTACCAAACCGTCTGCTTAGTGGTGCGTGGTGAGTATTGGGAAATCTACCAATCTAACGGTTAAAATCTTAGAAAGGCTACAATCTTTTTCGCTACATACCACACTCTTATCATACCGATAAATTGAATGGATTTACTTACGCTCCCACAACACTTTAAGTTATTAGTTGCCACTGGTAGCATGTCTGTCTTCTCACGATAGAATCAAGTTCTGAATCAATTGGATTTTATTCATCGTATGGTGGTTCGAATTGAAATTATCAAAACGGAAGTTTTTAGCTAGCGACGACAACACTTAAATAAAACTAGTTTAAAATTAAATTCCAATCCAAGCCTACAACTGCAATACTTTAAGATACTATAAGTTCATACTGCGTAGATCGGATCAAAAATTAATAATTTTAATCTGGAGGTAGCCGTGGTTAACTATGACATTGGGACGTCAAACACCTCAGTCCGTGACCATGGGTGCTGTAAAATGCTCGAAAATTCGGAAATATAAAATAAGTTAATATATGAGATAAAATCCGTAAAAACGAGTTTTATTTAAATGTGTGACTACTATAGTTTTTAAATAATTTTGTCCCTTAAGTGAATTTTTAAAACTGATAACTTGATCGTAACTCGATCGTGTTTTTCGATTCGAATTGGTTCGATAGTAAGTTTGATCTACTCTCGAATCAATTCGAACCGGAAATAATGTGATCCAAAACAACATCACTTTGGATTGGATCCGAAATAGATTTTGGGAGTAAGCCTGCTAAGTTCATAAGTAAAGTTTTGATTGAATTGTTTATATTTTCGATTGAGTAATTTTTAAGCCTACTACTATTTCGTATGGGTTTCCTCCGACTAGAGAAGAGAACTCCGGTCGTATAGTTCTTATTTAAATTGATTGAATATTTCAGACAATGTCCCTTTGCCTGAGTTGTATTTCAAGAACGCTGGATTGCATACCGCAGTGCTTTGTTAACGCGGCGTCGGTTATTGAGAACACTATACCGTCTAACGTGACCCCAGTGGGTGGATCGATTTTGCTGCAGATGCTGATAACAATTATTTACGAGGAATTACAGAAGTGGGCGAAGAAGGAGGCTGTTAAAGAAAAGTCTGGTAAGTCGTGAGTGCTTTACTACGGTCCACCTCTATTTTGCCATGATAAGAAAAGAGGCACATCTTCAATTTTGAGTAATAAAATTATATACATATTCGAAGCCATTATAAAACGAAATGTGTTAGTCGGGCCTCACTTGTCGTATATAAAACAGCCAATATTTTTACAAATTTAATTGGGTATTGATTTTTTTCTTAGTTATTAGATTACAAACTATGTTATGGATCGATGATTTAAGAACTTATTTGTTGTTAAAATGCAGTATATGGTACATAATATACAAACATTTCAAAGGAGAAAGCCCACCGTTCATAGACACTTCAACCATGGGTGCCTACATATTAAAGCATATGAAAATGATAATATGCAATAAAAAGAATGAAATGGTTAAGGAATTGGTTTAAAAAAAGTCTGGATTTTTAAGATATAAAGGTTTTTATTTTCACAAGAACAGTTTTTAACAACAAATGACTTTGTATTTTCGTGACATTTAAACCACAATTGAAACAGTGTAAATGTCCTCTTGAATGAGTTACTGAAGGCTGGGAAGATCTGGCCGGTGTGAAAGCTGGGGTCATCGTTAACAGTGGATATCGAGTCCAAGTTCGTGCAGGGGTTATTGTAAGAAGCGGGATCCATGTTCAGGCCGTGATCAATAGGGTGAGAAGAATTATCGGAGTTCATTTAGGAAACTTATTTAGATAATAGATCCGCGAGAAAACGAACAAAATAACACAAATATAATGGAATTCGACTTGTGACTATTTCGTTTTGATAATTATGACATGGGCCTAGCTGCCAGATTCGATGTTGCCATTTAACAGACATAAAATCGATAAATCGATATCGTTTTTTTATTCGATTTATAATTTCATAAAAAAGAATAATCCTTGATTCGCCTTAAGTTCTGCAAGCTTTTTAAAACATGTTTTGTTTTATTTATCTAAATTCCATTTTAAAAGTATTTTTAAGGACAGATAAGGATAACAGTTAAATTATGGAGTAGCGTTTTTGTTATGTTCTCAAGAATTCATGGTAAATTAACTAGCAATTCGCTTGTTTAATTAACGTAATATCTCTATCTAATAAAAATCGATTGAAAAAATAGAATCGATTTTTTTAGCGAGAGTTGTAATTGGCAACACTATTTTATCCACAAACTAATGAATAACGGATTTACCTAATTTCATTATTATCTTTTCGGTACTCTTTTTTGTGCATAAATATTGCAATCTTTTCTGGATACACGAATACCGCGATTAATAACCATACAAAAGATGTATTTTTTTAACAAATGCAAATTGTTGGGCATTTCATGGCCAGAATTGGGCATATTTCCATTTCAACTAGTTTAGTTTTTGAGATAGACCCCGTAACGAAAAAGGTCTATAGCTGACTAAACGAACTAAAATTTTGAGGACCGTCCATTTATAATATATGATTATTATATAATACGAAATATACATACTTTACGCGGTAGAGTCATGTTACAGTTATATTATACTTGTAACACGAATGGATCGGCTCGACCGGGGTAGGACTACGCTCTCACAGAATAACAGCGTAAAATAGCAGTTTCATGCTGCTGTGTTTCGGATGGAGAGTGTAAAGAACTGGAGACCCTTTTTACTGGAAACGAGGCTTTCCATCTAAGTCATTATTATTTATTTATTTATTTTATTTATCTTCACGCACAATCCCTGACGGGGTAGCCAGAGAGAACAGATCGCCAAGTGTCACGATCCTTACAAACCTCTTTCGCTTCTTTCAGATTCATTATCTTCTTCATGCATGCACGTCTAGGTATCCGAATACTCTTGACCCTACCCTCTTCGAGCAATTTGCTCACATGGTCTTCGAAAGTTAGTCTCGGTCTACCTCGACACCTTTTAATATTAACTTTCGCGCTATATATTTTCTTCACCATTCGGTCTTCACTCATTCGCTCAACGTGCCCAAACCACCGAAGCACGCCCTTATCAATTTTTGTGATAAGGTCATCTTTCAAACCTGCCATATTGCGAATCTCTTCGTTTCGCTTTCGGTCGGCCATGGTAACGCCGCACATTTTACGAAGAGATCGCATCTCCACTGCATTCAACTTACTTCTCTCTCTCTCATCTCAGTCAATCTCAGTCATTAAAATGTGAATACCAGTGTGCTTTTAAATGGGGACGAGCTGGGCCTTGTTGAATCCACTGTTTTTTCTCGGTATTACAGTTGACGCGAAGCTTCAATGGGTCTCTCATATATCTAATCTAGCTAGCAAACTTAGTTCTGCAGTATAAGCTGTAAAAAAGATTAAAGAAATAAATATATAGAAAATTTTAAAGAAATAAATATATTAACTGGCCTCTCAATATATTTACGAGAATTGAATGTATGTACACAAAAACAAAAATAGTTTTATTAAAAATAGTGATGTACATTCTGTAAATACTAGGAAAGTCCCAGAAAATATGCAGACCTTTTCTATCAAAAGGTTTAAATTATTTATCAAGCAAAAATTGTCTAGTAAGGGTTATTATACTACAAAATAATACATGACTGATAATAACTCCTGGGAATGAGGTGATCGCTACCATGCTGTTTCTAAATGTTTTCATAACAATTGTGTAAAATATTATATTGTAAATTATGCTTTTTTTTAAAAAAAATCCCGCTGGGTTTCTTGCTGGTTCTTCCCAGGACAAAGATTTTTTTGCGAAACAGTGGTAAAAGTAAGAAATGACTTTCAATGAGGAAGCTCAAGGTCGCCCAGCGAGCTATGGAGAGGGCTATGCTCGGGGTTTCTCTGCGTGATAAACTTAGAAATGAGTATATCCGCAGTAGAACCAGAGTAACCGACATAGCCCAACGGATTAGTAAGCTGAAGTGGCAGTGGGCCGGCCATATAGCTCGAAGAACCGACAACCGATGGGGAAGAAAGGTTCTTGAGTGGCAGCCTCGTACCGGTAGGCGAAGTGTAGGGCGTCCCCCTACGAGATGGAGTGACGACCTGGTAAGACATGCAGGAAGTCGATGGATGCAGGTGGCTCAGGACCGTGCTTTATGGCATTCCTTGGGGGAGGCCTATGTTCAGCAGTGGACTTATGAAAGGCTGTAAAGATGATGATGATGAACTATTATGTGCTGTAATCTATCTTAAAATATAAAAATGAATCGCTGAATGTGTTGCTAAGCGCAAATTTCGGAAGCAGCTAAACCTATTTCGCTTATTCTTTTTTTATAATATTGCTTGAAGTACGAAGATGGTTCTTACGGAGAGAAAAATTTAAAAAATTGCCTGAAAAGTCTAAAAACAACACTTTTCTATATTCCCATACAAAAGATTCGTAATAATACTTAAAAGTCAATTTGAACTTTAATACCATACCATAAAGTTTAAGTGTTAGTGGAGGGGTACCGGGAAGGCAAAAGAATTGAATGACGTTAGTATCGTATAAATATTAATGTCAATATTTGTCAATATTTATAAAATGGTAACATTACTCAAAAACAAAATTAGGGTTCCGCGCAAAAAAAATTATATCCATGAAATCGTAGTAAATTCCACGCGGGCGAAGTCGCGGGGCACAGCTAGTATTGAATAAAAATGTTTCTATTTTATTCTATTCTGTAGTGAGAACGCGTCTTATTTTGATTCTTAATCAAAGATAAATGTAGATGTCTGAGCCACAGCATCCACTTAACATCAGGTGAACTGTGTGCTCGTTTGCCACCCTTATACTATAAAAATGGTATATAGTATACTACATCTTTTGTACCCATTATGTGGGGAGTCATTGTCCGACACTCCACATGATGACGGCAAGAAAACAAAGGAGACAGTTTCTCTTTGTATGGAGAATAGGCCCAACACAAATTTTAGAAAACCTTAATGAAATGCATGTCGATTTATTTATTATAATCTACAGATTACAATAGTAATATTAGTTTTACCGTATCTAATGGGAATACTGAGTAATTAGCAAATAACATATGTATCTTACTATAACCTAAAAACAATTTAAAAGCTATTTTCTATTAGTTTTCACCAGTATTATAAGTTAAAATAGTGCACAGTTCAATTAATAATAGTATAAAACAAAGTTGTAGTTACATTCAGCATTTATAGGTACTTTAAAATTGATGGAAAATCTTTTTAGTAGTTCTGGCAAAATAACATAGTGCATGTATGTGCATGAATATGGTATGGATACTATTTTTTATATGTATTGTGTGTGAGTATACGTCCCAAATACCGTTTAAGTAATATGATTAAAGCCATGTGTGATGAGTCAGGGATAATATGTACATTTATAATATTACCTACACACGCTATATAGAAAGAAAGATGTTTTGAACTGGTTGTATAAGGATAAAAACACAAGTTATAATGCATCTACATTTATTATAGTAAATCATAATTTCCAGAGTAGTCTATTAACAGTAGAACAAATAGACAGGCACGGTGTCAAAACTTTGTTTGAAAATATATTAACTGATTAGGTTAGGTTAGATACTTCAACCATTTTTATCTGTTATTACACGCTGATAAATAGTGAGGAAGTAAGATGTTTTAAATTGTTTATGGAAGGATAATAAAACACATGTATAATTGAATTGTATTTGTTATTGTAAATCATTTCAAAATATTTTTTCTAAATAACTTGATGATAACATGTCCATTTATGATATTGGCAGGAATTCGAAGAACATTTTCAATGATATGATAGAATACTGTTGTCTTCAATATCCATACTCTTTTTTGTCTCTGCCTACGGGCAGCTCTGCAAGCTTTTAGCCAGCGATTGACCTGAAAAAGTTAATCATTGTAAAGAGTGCCTATAGTATAGGCACACTGGCAGTTTGAAGTTTATCAGCTTTATTACAGTCCTAAATGTTTTTGTAAATTCAATAGCAATTTTAAGGATATCATCCATTACACAAATAAAATGGCTTAACTAAGTCACAATACTTATGCAAACTATATAATATTTAATTTAGATATTACTAATAACATAAAACTTTAATACATTGTCACTTGTTTTAGGTTATTCAACACAAATTATAGATTTTCTAAAATTCTAGGTGGAAAATTAAATTATATATCATATATTACATACATATGTAGAAGAGAAATACATGATTTGAATTATTAATACATAATCTGCATGATATTATCCATATTATGATACGAATATAATGTATATCCATGTATCCATACACTTGTGCATCGATGAGACGATATTTTATTGTCTTCTAATGTAAACAAACTGTAAAAAAATGTTTATACTTAACCGATTCGTTGCGGCACCAATTTTCGACAACTTTTAGCTGTGGCGGCGAACAAATATTTCATGACACGTCGGGCGTGTCAAGCGCCACAGACAATTTAGACCTAATTAAGTTTATTTGACATCAAACATAAGTTACAAGTGGAAGGATACTTGTTTTTAGTGGATAACTACGTGTTCTTTTACGCGTTTTCTTTGAAATTGAGAGAAATTGACTTATTTTATGAAGAGATTACAAACCTTTTGTACTATTTTTTGTTGTTATAAAAAAATCATTTATATAAGTAGGTACAGCTAAATCACCCTGGACACCTTGGTTTTTATTAAATTAAATTTTCACCTAATAATAACATTTGTAAATATCAAACAATGAAGAACCTTAATTTGAAAAAAAAAGGTATATCATTCATTGCTATTTACAAATGTTAAATATTATTTAATGTTATACAAATGTAAAAGTAAAGTCGATCTGAAAACGTCTAATTAGTAAGAATAGCAAAACAAGTGTTTTCAAAAGAAAAAAACGCCGGCGCTATACGGCGGCGGATTGACAAAAGACTATTTATTAGCGAACTTTTTTTATGCATGAACGGTTTCGAACTGTTTCAAGCAAAAATAAACCTTATACCATATCACAAGAGCACATGGTACTTCGTAGGTCTATTCGGCCATATGATAGTAATAAGACGGCAGTTCAACCATTTTAAGCAAAATTAAACAATAAGACAAACGCATTGTTTTTTTTTAACAGGAGACTTGTTTTCCATAAATTTATTTACAACTTGAGTTTGTGAGCGATCGCAATGAGTGCTATTATTTGTTACTTATTAGACAATTTTTTCCATAACATGATTTAAAACCCACGAAGTAAAAATTTCAAATTTTCAAAATATCCAGGAACGAAGCTGCATGCATGAACTACTCGCAAAATAATGAATATTTTGTTCTGGATAAATTTTCCAAAAAAGAAATTTGAGCGAGTTATAACGATTTTTAAAAAGACACGACTCGCGTGTCATACGCCACACAAAAGTAATAACTATAAACTTTATGTTTTTGCTACCAAAAAATAATATAACCACAACTAACCAGTAACCACAGAATTAATTCTTACACTAGTGATGCAACTGGTACTCTGTTTTCAATCGATTCAATCGAGTAAATTTGTGTAATTCGGTACTCGAGTGAAAATAAATTTTACTCGAATCCGCTTGCTCTCGAGTTACCGATTGAACTCGGCGCACCGCACCGTGTAGATTCGGAGATCGCTAGATAGATGTCAGTTCACTAATTTTTTAATTCACTTGTGGTATAAGGCGCCGCGATTACGCCAGTAATGTAACGTTACTGGTTACATCCAAATTCAAACTTGCATCTGTCATGTTGTAGTCAAATATGAACTTACTTTGATTTATAATATCGTGATAGTGATATCATTGTTGTTTATTTTTTGTTACCTCGTATAAGTAGTGCATAACGTAAAAGATGATTTAAATTCCTATTCGTTTAAAGTATGAATGATAACAATGAAACAACAAAATAAAGAACGTCAGTGTGGCATTATTTTAAAAAATGGAAGCGATTTGTAAGATATGCTAAAAGCAGTTTATAGATTTTGAAATACTCCACATATCTGTAGTAAATGAAAATACTACAAATAAATAAATAATAAATATTTGTATTTTATTTCATATTGCCACATATTACTTATTTAATAAAGGTACCTATTTAAAATGATTTAACTAAGGTAATCGCTATTCTCGACTCGAGTGATAAACTTCAATCGATGCAGGAACTGTAAATAGTTAATTCAAATAACTCAAAAACTCGAGTACAAGAGTGACTTGAGTCACAAAACTCTACTCGAGTCACATTTTTATATTACGGTCAATGCAGTGTCTGTCTACAATTTAGTGATGAACTCGACTTACTAATTCGAGCAATTTATTGATATATTATGTAACGTCAATAAGCTGATTAAGTATAATTCGTGATAGTTAAATTATTAATAACAGTAACTTTACGCTACGTCATAAAGTATAAGAGAGTGAGTTGATAATATGAGTATATTGAGTCAAATATATATATAATATATAAGTGAAAACTTGTAAATGGCCTTAATTTTTGTTATAATTATATTATTTTTGTAAATTAGCTGTAAGTTTTCCAAGCAAATAAAAATAACTAATATGTTGGTCACCGACATATAAATAGTATTTCATTATATTGCCCTTGATAACATAAAAAAAAACTTTATTTTCAGTTGCAAATGGCGAAGCACATAACTTAAACACGAAGCATAGTAGACCGAAAATGAAGCAAGTCAGGATTCGGAGTCTCGCTAATACAAGTAAGATTACTGCATACTAATTACTGTTATTAACCGAAGGCGAGGAAAGATTTTCTTCCTGCGGCACGATTTCATTTTTGATTTTGATCTTAATTGATGTACAAAATGTTATGATTTACGCCCTAGCCGGTTTTTATGTGGAAATAACTTTAAAAAAAATATTTTTTAAGTATTGCTGCAACAAATGCATTTTATCTTATAATTTAAATTTCATGATAGCACCATGTAGAGTTGTTTTTTGTCCCTACAACCCAATTTAAAATCTGAATAATTCACATATATAACACATAAACACTCATGCCTGTCACCCAGGGGGGTAGGCAGAGACTATGGATTTCCATTTGGCACGAACCTACACACCTCTGTCGCTTCCTCCACATCCATATATATACGCATATACGTCCGTCGGTTAAAGGTACTCTTAATTTGGCGCATATTCAATATATAGCCAATTTGGTCGATAAACTTTCGCCTAGGGCGTCCCTTCCCGACTCTGCCGTTCACCTCTGCAACATAAATTTGCTTTGTCACTCTTTTCTCATTCATTATTTCTACATGACCAAACCACCGAAGCATTCCTTTCTTAATCCTGGTCACAACATCTTGCAAACCACACGCTTCTCTAATCACACAATTTCTCACCCTGTCATTCAGATTCAGCCCTAACATTAATTCTCAATTCTGAAAAATTTTCATACTGAAAAATTCAAAATTAAAGAAAATATCATACATAATATAGCGGAGTACAACCTTATGCTTGTCTTGCACTTAACCGATTAACACATAACACACAACACAAACAACCAATAACACACATGCAATTAACCGATTTTTAATAACTCGATGGTTCTTTGGTGCAGTAGTTGCATCCTATTAGACTAAGTGTATCAATCTATATTGGGATTATTATAAACAATTCTAAAGCTTGACTAGAGTGACCGACCTAGCCTAACGGATTAGTAAACTGAAGTGGCAATGGGCCGTCCTTATAGCTCTGACAACCGATGGGTAAAAAAGGTTCTCGAGTGGCAGCCTCGTACCGGTAGGCGTATTATAGGGCGACTACCCATTAGATGGAGTGACGAACTGGTTAGCCATGCAGAAAGTCTATGAATGCAGGTGGCTCGGGACCGTACTTTCTAACATTCCTTGAGGGAGGCCTATGTTCACCAGTGGACTTGTGAAGGGCTGTAATGATGATGATGATGAAATCTAAATCTTATATATAACAAATATGACAAACTTTAAAAATGTTATAAACGTGTTCAGTTTTCATTGTTGAAAATTTAAACCAAGGAAAAAACAATTATAACAAAATAAATAATAATCACTAATAAATCATCTAATGATCATGAACTCTTAAAAAGATGTAAACACAGTTCAGGTCACAAGTCAGGGACAGACCTTTGTTGTTATTTTTTCGGCGCTTTTGGTAATTTAATTTACTTTAGAGTATTCCTCAATATGAGAAGAATTTGAAACTGAGACAAATCTTACTCAAACAACAGGTCGTTTTTCAAGGCGTTGTGTCAAGTGTATAGTGACTTTTCTAGTTTCCATTAGTCGAACTATTACATTTTAGACACGTCCAGCTCAGTGAGTTTTGACGGTGCGTACAGTTCTCCGTCGTCAATAGCGCTCGCTATAGCCGAGGCGCTTTGCTCTATAGACGAAGACGATAAGCACACGCAAGAGATACAGACGCTAGTGGCTCAGTCCAAAGCATCCTTCGAACTGTCCAATCAGTTCGGACTGGAAGACTTTCCAGAGTTCGCAGAGTTTTTTAAAGAGGTATGTTTGAGCTACAATTTTTTTGCTTGTAACGTTACTTTTTTGGTATAATATTATGGTAGTGTACCAGAGTTTCAATCACAATGTTACTAAAGTGAAGAAAGCTTGTGTAAAACTGTAAAGAAATATGATTGATGAGATGTTATCATGATAATTGTGCATTACTTCAATTATTCATATGAAGGTATAATTTAAGTGAGATTTCTGTTTACAAAAGGAAATAAAATTATTATAATAAAATTTGCTACTACTAGAATTTTGTACTAAATTTTGATGTGTTTCGTTTTAGGGTAATGTTCCTGCCGCCAACGCGGAGCGAGCGAGTGATGCCGCCATTTTGACTAATCAAATATTGATGACGTCAGCTGGAAGGGACAGCCTTCGGGTATGATGCTTGAATTTGTTTCTGATTAAGGGTACATACACAACAAACGAGCACACAGTTCACTTGATGGTAATTGAATACTGTGACCCACAAACCCTTACATCTATCCTCGATTAAAGAACAAACCGAATGCCATGTCACTCCTTAGGACTAAAGAAACGATGCATTCTACTTTGTACCAGCAAAAAGGGTCTCCGGTTTGTAGGGTGATACGGAACACATATGCATTAAGCTGTTAATTTACGCTGGTATTCTGAAAGAGCGTGGTCCTTCCCCGGTTTAGCCGACCCATTGTAACTAAAACTATAATAATAGATGTAGCGTAGCTATAAATATAAGTTTATCGGATTCTAGAAGTAGTAAATACACAAAACGCCTCAGTGGTTTTGTCCTTTAATTTTGTGCACATGTTTTGGAACGAAGTTCTTTATCGAACGGTACGAATTCGGCGGATTAGGTGAGAAAAAGTATAAGATTTTTGTGTCACACCCCATCTGACGTAGACGGCCTTGGCGGCTATAAGGAAGCGAGATGGAATAATATCCATTTCCCTCGCACTTTTTCTTATCTTGCCATGAAAGAAATATTATTTAATTTTAAATGACGCTTCATTTTACTAGACGCTAATAATTCATTTCTTGATTATTCATAGATAGTTTGGTGTTAGAAATATGTATAGTTACCGGCACGAGTCGTGAGCACACTTTTTATTGGTCGATATGACGTTGACCACGTTGACGCTTAAGACGCCCATTACACGCCTAGGCAAGCGTCAATCAGTTCGATCAATCATGACTCAGGTTTGAATGATGGAATAATTTGGACATTACACGCTCATGCTGACTGATCGTCAGTCAAACCCAAACTTTCGGAGGGAAAGGATGGATAATCATAAGAAAAAGGCCTGTGCTGCAATTTTGATTGCAATTTTGTGTAAAAAACGTACAAAAAGAAGACGCTGGGTAAAAGACTGGCTTTTAAAAAGGGATTTCTATACCCATATTAACTTATTGACTGACATACGGATTTCAAAAGAGGACAAAGATTATGAAAACTATTTTCGCATGAAAGAGGCTTGTTTTGATAAGTTACTGGTCTTGGTAACACCATATCTAAAAAAACAAGATACATGTATGCGAAAAGCAATAACTCCCGAAGAAAAGCTAGCAGCAACGTTGCGATATCTCGCTACTGGTAGAAGTATTGAAGACATGAAGTTTTCAGTAGTAATCATGTCACCAGCTGCTATTTCTGAAGCAATTATGGATACATGTCGGGCAATTATTTACGTTTTACAGGACTATATGAAGGTAAGTAAAAAAATAAAAACTACATTTCAATATATTTATGTCGCACTTTAATCTTGGCAATAATTATTATAGTACATACAAAGTTATTGTGATGTCAAAATTGTTTTAACAGATGTTCGACCGCGGTTCTCAATACGATTATGAAACATTTTGTAAATGACTAAAAAAATTATTACAACAATTTTTTCATAATCATGTTAGTAACTGCGGTCAACCCTCAGGTCCTAATTAATTTAAAAATTAAGGTTTAAAATGAGAAAAGAGTGAAACTATGTTATTGCTTTTATTTTGATAACGTGATGGAGATGGTGTGATATTGGGATCATTTGGAATATGTAATATGTATTCCTTTGGAGTGGAAGCAGGTATTTGAAATGGTTGATCTAGATTATAGTTAGCATTTAAAATTATTTGTGAAGGCGTGCCTCTTTGCAAAGATGTGAAATTATATGGTGTAGTACTAATTGTATGTCCGCTATGTTGTTGAGATGATATTTGATGTGACGTCTGCGAAGTTGTGTGTTGAAGTGAATACAAGGGTTGAGCGGCAGGAGATGTTAGTGTTTGTTGTGATAAGGGCGATAGTGGAGGCGACGGAGATGTTAATGTAGAATCTGAATATGGACTGTAATGTTGCGAATTAATATTGAAGGTCACAGAAGCCGTATCTTGAGGTGAAGACAACGGTAGAGAAGCAGGAGATGGTGTTTGCATGGATGAGGGCGGTGGTGGAGGAGGTGGTGTTAATGTAGTAAATATTTTTACTTAATCTCTGTTTAAATTACCAAGCTCTGCTTCGAATAAAATGTCATTGATTGCTTTTTTTGCATATAGTCTTTGTATGGGATCTAGTCTTTCTAGTGTGTTGGACCACTCCAATGCAATTGGGTTCGTTAAATTTACATTTTGATTAGTATGGGTATTGCAAGGTTCACTCAAATATCTACATGCCCTATCTATCAACTCTTCGTAGTTCAGTTTTTTCTTTTTTTGTGAAGATACATATGGCTTGGGTGTTGCAGATATCGATGAAAATGATCTTACTTCATTATTTTGGTTTGATTGTTGATGCTCACTGCCTTCCTGATTAATTTGTTCTGTTTCTGATGTTAGTGGCTCCTGTAAACAATAAATATTTGTCATAGTATTACTTACAAAAAAAATCTTTCTAATTTCAGATACCGTCATCAGAAATGGAGTGGAAAATGATTGCAAGAGATTTTGGAGAAAAATATCAATTTTGGAATTGCCTCGGTGCGCTAGACGGCAAACATGTTGCTATTCAAAAACCACGGCTATCGGGCTCTTTATATTACAATTATAAAGGATATTTCAGCATTGTTCTCATGGCACTTGCAAATGCAAGGAAAGAATTTATAATGATTGATGTTGGAGCGAATGGCCGAGTTTCTGATGGTGAAGTGTTATTCTACACAAAATTCTGGGAATTATATCAACAAAGAAGCTTATTCTTACCACAACCAGGCACATTACCGAGTACATCAGATATTTTCCCCTTTGTTTTAATTGGGGATGAGGCTTTTGCATTAGGTGAAAATCTGATGAAGCCTTATCCTCAATATGCTTGTAACAATGAACAAAAAACATTTAACTACAGACTCTCTCGTGCTCGTTCTGTTGTTGAATGCACTTTTGGGATACTACGCACAAAATTCGGAGTTTTCCAAAAAAACATCAATTTCGAACCCAGTAAAGCTGCATTAATAGTAGCAACATGTTGCTACTTACATAATTACTTGATTAAAACCTCTCGGAAACAATACTTGACATCAAGCTGGAAAGTTGAAACACAAAGCAGTGAGCAATTATTGGATTTAGAGCCTACTAATAACAGAAATCCTTCTAGAGACGCAAAAATGATAAGACAAAAATTTTGTCATTATTTTAATAATGAAGGAAAACTATTGTAACTATCGGTATTTCGTTGTTAATTACCTAGTGCTGATTTATTAAAGATACGTCCCATGTAAATTTCGTTAAGGATTATTGAATATTTGATGGAATAAATAAATATTATATAAAGATTATATCTACTTGTTTAATTTAATACACTAATAAAGATTATTACTTTTTTAGGTATAGGTTTAGGTAGAATTGAAGCAACTTTATTGATGTCTCGATTCATTGTAAATAAATATTTGCATTTACTTATCAAAAATTGGCTAAATCACAGTATTGAGGACAGCTCGAAACAATTCGGTTATAACGCCTACACTAATGGTTCATACTAAATAATTGACGAAAGTTTTGCTTTTACATTTCTGAAAGGCGCTTATTAAGTTATAAAACGTGACTGTTAATTATTTTTTAATTAATTGTAATAGGTAAAACAATATATACATAAAATATTACCTGGTTTAACTGATTGGATTCTTGTAATAGAGCAACAGGTTGTTCCAATTTTCTTAAAAAATGTAGGTACGGGAAATACCAAATTTTGGGATTGTAAATATCGTCTGCCCCTGCGCCAGACCTTTTGGATGCTACAATTTTTTTTAATTCTCGGCGGTAGTTGGATCTGATTGAATTAATTTTTTTCTTCACATCATCTATGGTAGCGTCTTTCTTAATTTTTCTCAAAATGGGTAGCAACTTCGCCAAGTTTTCATTTCTGCAATCAAATCTTACCTTTAATTTTGGTAGCCTTTTTTATGTTTGGTAAATAACACATATACCTACTTATAAACTAAGTTCATTTTCAATTCACCATTTAACTGTAATTTAATATTTTGAAAAGAAAAAAAAACAAGGAATAGGAAAAATTGTAATATTTAATATAATTTTACCGCCAATTTTGCGCGCCAATGTTCGACCTCTTGGAGCGCATAATCAATACGCGGCTTTATTTGAAACGCATTTATTTATTTAGATAGCTTTAGGACGAAAAATAAGCTTACCTTTTATATTTATTCGTATACCCGGGGTTTTTCGTCTCCCACAACTCGGGGAGAGCCTCAAAATTTAAAATAAAGTCTTTTTCTGGCTGAAGCACATTTGGCGGGAGTGGCGACGGACTGCGCGAGCGCGTGAAACCCGCCTCTTCAATATATTCTGCGTCCGCCTCCATTGCTGTCTGAGCGTTGACTGATGCGTGATTGGTGAAATGTCATTACACGTTAAATCAAAATTCGTGACTGAATAGTTGATTGACGTAAAAATCAAAATATCCAGATATTTGTCAATCAATTTCATGCAACTGTCAATAACTACATTACACGATAGGTTATTCGTCAATCACAACCGTGATTGTTGTAAAACTGACAGCAAAACCTACCGTGTAATGGGCGTCTAACGTGATTGGTTCGTCAGTCGATGCTTGTCGTCTATTGGGTTCGCATGTATCATACGCTGGCTCAACCCCCACCACGGTTCGTCTGTGCTCACGACTCGTGCCGGTAACTATATAAGAGTACTACCTACCTAGAAGTGCGGAGAAACCCACTTTAACATAAATCTAATAATAACAATTGTAAATACTAATTAAGACTTGTCGTGTAGTGGTGATGTAAGAGAATTAATCACCAGTACGTGGTAGAGCCATGCTGCACCTATTTTAGTAGTGTAGTTGTAGTACGAATGGGTTGGCTCGTCCGGGGAAGGACCACGCTCTCACAGAATACCAGCGTCAAATAGCAGCTTACCACTACTGTGTTTCGTATGGTGAGTGTAGAGAACCGAAGACCCTTTTTACTGGAAAAGAGGCATTCCATCTTAGGCCTCACGAGTGACAACGCATCTGCATTTTGATTCGCAATCGAGGATAAATGTAGATGTCTATGGGCCACAGCAGCCACTTACCATCAGGTGGACTGTGTGCTCGTTAGTCACCCTATCCTATAAAAAAAAACCCATTGCTAGAAATATCTTGTGGCTTGCGATAGATGGCGGTATAACTAACTTGTGTACGTCAGACGTATATTACGCGGACCCGCTATCATGGAGTATAGAGTAGAAGGAGGACCATCTCTGTATATGAATAAGTATCCATAAAAACGCGTCCAATAAGGGTGGCGATGCGGTAGCATAGGATAAAAATAAATATAGCGTCAAAAGTAATTAGAATAAGATGGAGAAATAAACAAGGGCCGACCAATCCGCTTGGTTTTGTACTACGTAAATAGTTGAGGTTTTGTATACTGGCATTTTACTAACTACTCTAGTCATTAAATTTTTTAAATATTTGAATTCAGCTGACTTCACTCCGTCTACAACAGCTATGTTCATATCGTAGTTTTTCCGACGCAAGCGCTATTGTGGTAGGTTTTGGAAACTCTATTTTCAGTATACAGTTGGACATTTTTTCAACTTTCCGCCCATATGAGATGGTTCTCCTTCTACTCTATACTCCATGCCCACTATGAGCAGAAGTGTCAAAGGTGAGAGGCGTCAGGTACTGCTGTCGTCAGACCGCCTGCCGAGAGTGAAGATTAAAGCTGATCCTATCTACAACGGGAAAGCCTATTCCCCAGAACAGTGGTGTTATACGGTTGGATAAAAAAGAAGAAAAATTAGGATAACCATAATTTAATACTTATTTTTTTATCACCAGGTAATCTATGACCATCTTCAGCTACACTCGGAATGGGTTTACAAGGAATTGGGAATTCAGGAGACTTGTGACGTGGATATACCATTGAACAAGGCCCCGCTCCTGTATATCATGTTTCACATTGGTCGAAGGCCTTTCGATCAGGTAACATATTCTTTGCAAAAGTATTACGACATTTAATTTGTAATATTTTCATTCATAAATATTACATCAACATCATGATATTAAAAAATTTATCAATATATTTCTTGAAAAGTGGCAATTAATATTATTATACTGGCTCTCTCATAGTTTTTAGGGTTCCATACCCAAAGGGTAACCAATGACACCCTATTTCTAAGCCTCCGCTATCCGTCCGTCTGTCTGTCATCAGGCTGTATCTCATGATCCGTAATAGGTAGACAGTTGAAATTTTCATAGAATGTGTATCTCTGTTGCCGCATTAACAGCAAATGATAAAAATTAAAATAAATTAAAAATCAAACGGGGCTCCCCTGCTAGAAACGTGTATTACGATGTTGCGAATCCTTCATGCGCGATCTGACTCCCACTTGGGCGGTTATTTTCAACATTCTAAATATTTAATTACGTTGGTATAATACAACTGATATTAGACCAATGCAAGCGAGATGAATATCACAGATATATCACGTGAAATAGCAGCACAAGATTAGAATAATATAATTTTTATTTAACATAACGTGTAGTAGCGGTGTAAGAATATCCACTACCTACATCAGCATCAGAGGCATCAGCGTCTTCCTTCAAATTGATTACTGTTGTTTTGAAACTAATTGAAAAAAATTGAAACTAATAGTTGATTATTCAAACTGATAACTGCGGTTGCGAACTCGCCTGCTAAGCGTGGCAATTTTGGCCAAACATCCCCTTTACATGGCATTTGGGATAGGCCATGTTCAGCGGTGGATTTTGATAGAATACGAAACTCCGTAGTTATCCCCGTTACTGTTTCAGCATATTTAAAGCCCATTGCTGGACATAAGCCCTTCCCATATATTGCCTCATAGGGGGGGGGGGGTGATATTTGGGGTTGGCAACTGCAGTTTTTATTTTAAGTCGTTGTTAGGTATCATCAATCTCCCGATCTGTTTCCCTCTGTCGCTTCTTACGACACCCACGGAATGATATGGGGTAGTGGATATTTTTACATCGCCTCTATACGGTAAGTATCGCGCTGAGCGATAAATAAAATCTGGATATATAGTTTAATTGTGTATAGTTTCTGAGAGGCGAATGGCCTATGCCTTGGAGCAAGCTAGTCGCTGTCGCTAAGGCTTGGTCGGGCGTCGAAGGAGCCAAAGTCCACATCAACAGAAGAACTGACGTGCGTAACGTGAAAACTCACGGCAAGTGTAACAAGCAGTTATTAGAGTTGTACGGATTGTTTAAAGCGTCACCTGAAGGACTTCTGTAATGAAAATTTTCTTATTATATGTCTATACATAACGTCTTTTCTACCGACTTCAAAAAGGAGGAGGTACTCAATTCGACTGTATTTTTTTTGTTCTTTTTATGTGTGTTATCTTATAACTTTTTCTATGTGAACCGATTTCGACGATTTTTTTTATTTGAAAGCTGGTGCATCTCACGTATCCCAATATAAATTTGATCAAGGTGTGACCAATAGTTTTTGAGTTATTCTTAATAATTTATGTTGAAGTCGGTTGTACAAAATTTTAAATTTTAAATTATTGTTAATACAATGCGATATTTTGATTAATCGACCATTAGAATACAAAAAATTTTAAACATACCGAAAACTTACGCACTGCTAATATATTTTATATGGCGTTTCAATATTATATTTTTTAATATAAAGTATTTTTTTAGAAAACCTAAATGTGTATATATTTTTGAAGATTTTCAGTATTTAAAACACGCTTTTGTTAATTTCACTAGAACAATACATACTTATTATATAATAAGAATTAGACTAATCACCAAATTGTGTAGTAAATCAAAGTACTAACATATATATGTGTGTAATATATATAATAATAAAAAATGTTACGTGCTTTCCGAGGCACGGGGATGAAACACCACCAACTGATAATTTATTGACGGAAAAACCTAATAAACTGATTTTGCCCCGACTGGGTATTCGAACCCCATGGGGCAACAGTCGGGTTTACGACCAATAGACCAACGAGTCAGTCAAAAATAAGCAGGTAATCATTAACTATGCATTCTGGTAATAAGTCATCAAATAATCAATTCTAAACAGATAACCCATTGGTGAAAACTTTTAAAAGGATTACTTGGGGACTTACATAAATACTTTACTTGTAAATAGAACATATTTATAAGCTTACAAGCCAACATACAGACAAAAATTTGACAAATGGTTATTCATATGTTTATGGCATGGGAATAGCTCTCTGAGTACTTTAATTTTATTTATATGTACAGTTGTATAAATTTAGATAATTAATTTATATAATTATAGGATTTTTATTTAAATGTATTTTGAATCACATTAAAGAGACATTTCCATCTCTTATTATAATTCAAAGTCAAAACCAAAGTATAAATGACACAAAAGTAATAGTTTAGTCTAGCATCGGCTGTATCTAGGAAACTATATGTGTTATATTTACATACTTAAGCTTAGGTAAATGAACACAAATAGGCATAAAGGACAATGCATAAGGTAGGTATGAAAAATGGTATTGTGTCAAGACCTGACATAGTACTTACGCACATGAGTTAGAATTCTAAGAAATAAACATGTATAATATATGATAATATGATGAAAAAGGCTATTTTTATTTCTTTCATCCTACATCGCATCGTTTAACGCCTGCGGTGATTCCAACCCTATTTGTTCTACCGATTTCAAACAGGAGGAGGTACTCAATTAGTTCAAACTGTATGTTTTTTTATGTTATCTCATAACTGTTTTTTTGCGTGAACCGATTTCGATAACTTTTTTTATTTTATAGCCGGTGCTTCACATGTGGTCCCATATCAATTTGATCAAGGTCTGACCCACAAATTTTTGAGTTATTCTTAATAATTTATATTGAAGTCGGTTGTACAAAATTTTTAATTATAAATTATATTTCTGCTGTTAAATATCAGGTGAAAAGTTCTCGGGTGACAACCTAGTACTGGTAAGCGAAGCTAGGGACTGTCCGTACTAGATGGAACGATATCATGGTAAGACTTGCAGTAAATCAGTCAAATGTAGGTAGCTCAGGACCGTACTTTGTAGCATTCTTTGGGGGCTGGCCTATGTTCAGCAGTAAACTTGTATTGATTATGATGATGTTAGACTTCAAAAGTTTAAGATGTCTCATACTTTGATAATAAAATTGGGAATACCAAGCGTAGCGTTTACGGCGAGTCATCTCCGACTTTGAAAACGCCCATTTTTATTAATGGACGGACGAAGGTAATACTGGCAGTGACGATTATTCACGATTTGTCTAATCGTTCAATTGAAATTAAGCTACAATTCTATGAATCTACTATGTAGAAAATAGCTCGTATTGGTTAAGTATTACACCGGAACCCAACTATTCGGAGGCGGATTGTGTCGACGTCGCGTCGCCACAATCTCACAATCAAATTAGGCTAGCACCTCATCGGCGCCCCTTTAGCGGCCATATGATAAAAAATTATAACTGCCTACTCATTTTGAAAATAAACTATAATTTAATAATTGCAAAATAATTAAGGCACAAATGCCCTTAATAGGTGGGCATGAATGAATTATGTGATGAGTGAATGGGAGCGATATAGGACTAGGTAATCAAAAAGACGAATTTATTTTCGTTTAAAACTTCCGCACGCGCCCTTTTTTAGCCTTGCGTTTTAGGCATGTGCCTAGTTTGCCTTAAGGATAATCCGCCACTGCGACGAGTCATTCTATTTTTTTTTAATAAAAGGGGGCAAACGAGCATGCGGTTCACCTGATGGTAGATGACAATTTCCAAATAGATTCAAAATGTGTCAATGATATAAGGATCATACATTACATTGGAAATGCTGTTATTCTGTTATGGAATGTGAGTGAAATGGTTTCCAATAAAACTTTATATACATACAGTGGTTCTGCTTTAAGGCTATTGGGCATGTGTTACTTACCAGTCACATATAATAATGTAACGCATAATATAAAATTTTATGTTGTTGAAAATGGCCCGGTTCCCTTGCTCGGTAGGGACTTTATGATAAAATTTAATTTCGCTTTTATCTCATTAAATTATTGTTCAGTAGATAAAGAAAAATTTATTTTGTCGAAATATAAAACATTATTTTCTGGTGGGTTGGGCACGTTCAATAAATATAAGTTAACGCTACACTTAAAAGAAGGTGTCACACCAAAATTTTTTAAAGCTAGGCCGGTGCCTTTTGCGCTCAAAGATAAGGTAAGCGCAGAGTTGGACCGATTAGTGCGCGCTGGCATACTCAAACCGGTTTCTTATTCTAATTACGCGTCACCGATTGTTGCAGTATTAAAGAAAAATAATGACGTACGTATTTGCGGCGATTATTCTATGACGATCAATAAGGCCCTAATAATTGACTCTTATCCATTGCCCAAAATAAGTGAGTTATGTGCATCGTTACACGATTGTCGTTACTTTAGTAGGCTTGATTTATCAAATAGTTATAATCAGTTCCTTCTAGATGATGAGTCACAAAAATATACATGTATCAATACGCATAAAGGTCTTTTTGTTTATACAAGATTAGTGTTCGGTTTGTCAAATGCGCCAGCTTTGTTCCAGCGTGCTATGGTGCAACTGCTGCAGGGCATAGATGGCGTGGAGTGTTTCCTCGACGACTTGTTAATCGCGGCTCCGACCGCCGAATTACATTGGGAACGTGTCGATTTGGTACTAAATCGTCTAAGAGACGCCGGGCTAATGCTCCAGCGCTCGAAATGTTCATTCTTCCAAAATAAAATAGAATATTTGGGTTTTGTTATTGATCGTTTTGGCCTTCATAAAAATCCGGATAAAATAAAGGCTATTACACAGGCAAGGGTGCCAGGAAACGTCCGACACAATATGCTACAGTAGATATCGACCGCCGCCTATGAACAACTACAACACCTGGTTAATTGCAGATGTGTTGCCTGCCTTTTAAAAAGGAGTGAACTCACATAGTCCAATAAATTACAATCACAAGAGTCCAATAAATAACAGCTTATAAAAAAAAAACCAATATGACTATGGGGCTCGGGCCATGTAGTGGCGGAACTCCAAACCTGAAATATCTTGGACTGGCGAATGGCGCCAGCGTCAAAGGTGCGAAAAGTTTAGTACTGCGATCGTCAATCTATCTGCCAATCGGGACGATAGAGGTAAGTCCTCTCTACAACGAATGAGGCATTGGATAGATGATGGATAGATGAGGAATATCTGGCATTGGACTTTTACTGATTCATCAAGAAGAAGAAGTATCGGGATACGACTTTGCAAATCATAATTCCATGCCTTTCAACTGCCGATTAAGTAAGGAAATTTTAAAAAATTGCTCCTTATTGTACTATATAACGTCCCATAAGCTATAATGAATGCCACCGTGGAAAATGCAAAGGGATGCAACATTTCTTCGCAGTGCCAATGAATCGAGCCGATCGGAAAGGACTCGGTCGTCGACGATTCGAGCCGCTCTGCGCTGGATGCGGTCAACTGGAAGGAGCTGGCACTGGGGAGCCCCTGCACAAAGATGGGAACAGTATTCCATGTGAGGCCGAACCTGCGCCTTGTAAAGTTGCAGGCGGTGTGCCGGCATGAAATACTGTCCCGCTCTGCTGAGCACGCCACGCTTTTTAGAGGCTAATTTGGCCTTCTCTTCCAAGTGACTACGAAACTACACGTCACTCGATATGTCGACGCCAAAGATTCCGATACTGGCTAAGGCAAGAAGGGAGTGCCTTGAAACTGAGGAGATACGACAAAGGGGTTCTTTTTAGCGGTAAACGCGCAAACTTGTGTCTTCTGAGGATTGAACTGGACTAAATTTAGTCGCCCCCAATCCGAAACTTTGTTCAGCAAAGACTCGACTTCAGACATAAGTTTGTTCCGGCACTCGGCGACGTTTTCCCGAGAAATATTGGCACGGCCGGTGTATAAAGCATCACCAGTGCTGTCATCCGCACAGCAACGAATGTTACCAGTTAGCAACATATCATTGATATGCAGAAGAAACAGCGTTGGTGATAACACACAGCCTTGTGGAACACCAGCCTTAATAGGCTTGTGGTCAGAGCATGCACCGTCTACAATGACCTTGATGCTCCGATCTGCAAGGAAGCTGGTGATCCAATTGCACAATTTCTCGGGAAGCCCATAGGAAGGGAGCTTCGAAAGAAGCGCTTTGTACCAAACCCGACCGAAGGCCTTCGAAATGTCCAAACTAACGGCCAACGCCTCCCCCTTGGACTCTATAATAATACTAGTGCTCTGAACCAGTCTTTCTCAAAATGGGCGATAACGCCCCCTTGTGGAAAAGGAGTACGTTTCTCCTAAAACTTGAAAACTACAATTTTGAATTTTGGATTGACTTTTGTAGCCAAAATTCTTGGTAGCTATTTTTGAATTTGATTTTTATTTCCTCGTTCGTTGTCAATTCTATAAGTTCTTCTTCCAGTTTGGGTGATACTGCTATGTTTACATTTGAAAAAGGATCTAACACCCAGTCTGGTATTTCAAATTTGAAAATGTCCTGGAATCTTTCAGTAAAATCACTGTGGAGATTTTCCAAATGTTCACAGTAGACAAGCAAGTCGTAGGGAAAATTATGGAACTCATGACTGCCGATATTTTTCCACCTAGCATTTGCAAATTCGTCGACATCTAGACTGTACTATCGACCTCCGGTCTAAGCAGGGGGGTAAAGTGGCGGCGCTGTCGTCGCGCCACAAGCGAAAACACATCGAAGCCTAAATCGCACTAACAAAGTTCCGAAGTTAAAGCAGCATAATATATAGAATAGCTCCGAACTACCAATCGGAGCGTTGGCCGCTCCCCGGGCAGAACACCTTGCTCGGCGGGAGATCTCCCCTTTACCTTTCATCGGCTACACACGCGAGCGAAGACGTGGGGAACAGCTAGTCCAGAATAAGGATGGATAAATATAGGTTGAAACTTTTCACAATTTTGCAGTTTCACGAAGTGATAATAATTGTTACCTTATTAGGTATCTTGTTAATCATTAATCCAAAGTTTCATTTAATTAACTTTTAAACAACATGTGGAAATTTATAGAAGCCTAGTACACGAAATAATATAACAATGGTCTGGGTGTATACCACGTACGTAGTATATATCACATGAGTAAAGAAACTGAAAGAAACCGACCAGAGGGGAAGTTATATACAAATGGCTAGCTGCGAATACACCCATACATAGCGGAGCAATGTGTGTGTGAGCTCTCACCGACAGGTTCACCGACGCTCCGTCTGGGTACAAACCAGTTTGCGCCGGCTCAGTCCGAGTATCCATGAAAGGGCTTAGTGCACATTTAAATAAATAGACCAACAATATTTCAAAATTTTATACATCAATTAATTTATTAAGTTTTTTTTGCAATTATTAAATAATTAGATTTAAGTATTTTAATTAAAATAATTAAGTTATTATAAATTTATATAGGTAAGTAGTAAGTATTCTGTATAAGCAAAAATAATACTTTTTATTATTATTTATTTATTTATTTAAAATGCCTAATAGTTGTACAGTATGCATGAATAACTCTATAGAAAATAAGGATATTTCCTTTTTTTTGTACCCGAG